TCAGGATTAATAGTTTTTAATAGTAATACTCTGGTCTAATTATACCATATGCCGTTTTATATATTATATTTTCGATTGCTATTATTAGCTTCGATAAAAGTATTCAAAATAATGTAATATTCTCTTAATCTCACTATCAGACGAAAATATGCAGGTATTGAATTATTTGTTGCCTGCCTTGTGCCCTAACGTGTTTAAGCTTTTACTATTTTCAGTGCCTCTTCAACCGGCATTCAAAAAAAATAATTTGTTTAACGTATTTTCTCACTTTCACAGATTAGAACATCGATTTGATTGTGGAAGTATCAAGACCGCTATATGTACAGTATTCCCTGGTTGGGAAACCCTTCAAATAATGATTTGGGCAATTTTAATAATGCTTGTTGGACACGTAGTGGACATGACGATCGTTTCAAAATTTTGCTGTTATTGGACACGTAGTGGACATAACGATCGTTTCAATATTATGTTGTTGTTGTTCTTTGACACGTTTTTAAAAAGTCGCTTTCCTCTCCGAATACTGGACCAATTGCTTTGAAATTTTCAGTGGTTGAAGATAAAATTTTTCTCTATAAGGCTATTACTTTTTTTTTCGCTATGACGTCATCAAAATTATTGCCATTGGGTGGCGCTACGTGTCCATATACTTGAGCATAGCTCTCTTGTTGTTATTTTCATTATTTGTCTCCTCATTTTTAAAAAAAATCGCTTTTCTCTTCGAATACTGGACCAATTGCTTTGAAATTTTCAGTGGTTGAAGATAAAATTTTTCCCCAGAAGGCTATTACTTTTATTCATTTTAAATATTTCTGTTAGCTCTGTGAGTTTTGTTTGCTATGACGTCATTAAACGTTCTGCGGTCACCGGACGCCATTTTGTGTCCTACTGTACTGCTTCGCTTGGTGTGAATATATTTGTAGACTGTGATCTGACGGTACGGTAAACCGTACTGTACTGCGAACAGACGTGTCCATATATTTGGGCGTAGCTCTCTTGTTCCTCACTACAATACAAAATCAATGAAAAATATAAGAATTTTCTTGCATACAATCTACCGAACTAATTGTGAGATTATTGAAACTCACATATATATATGCATGCGAATAATTATTTTCGAAAATGAACATTGCAAAGAACAAGCTGAGAACTCGGGATTAGTATTTCCTATTTATAAAATGTTTTAATCTTGGCTTTCGCCAGTGTCCCATTTGGAAAATGTATTTTCATTTAGTGATGTCGAAAACGTATCAAGCGTGATGCAACAAAGACAGTCACTTTAAATCTCATTTGTAAGTTTTTTTTAACGACCAAGTTGAGTTCGCGAGTTGTTGCAGTTTTCGTGCGTTGCTTAATATTTCATCTTCTGATCTATCTGAAAAAATTGTGATTCATCGACCATTGGTTCGGTTTTTAATTTTCTAAAATATGTACAGCCTGCCAAGACTTGCAAGTTGCAATCCATAATTTTATCTCGCAAGCAAAAAAAGGTTGCCGACCCCTGCCCTAGTCTGTTAAATCCCAACTACCCCCTATATTCGGGGTGTACAGCACACTTTTAATGCCTACTACTAATACGTATCCGTAAAGTGTCGTGGTAGTGTAGCGAATGTGCATTGTGTAACTATGGATTTTAATGTATATAACCCTTTCATATTAATAGCATGTAATATTTCACAAAATAGGCCGCATTATGTTTCGCAACAGCGATAATGCATTCGCGCCATGTATTGCCTTTCTCGTTTCGACCAATTTGATGACGTATCGTTTCCGGTTTGCCGAGAATGGTCTATACTCTATAATATTGTGTTTTTTTTGTTTCACTCGATATATGACTTGTGAGCTGACCGTAATCTTACTGCCTTGAGAATTAAGTGTGTACAATTTTATCTGTATTTGGAATTTGGATCGTGCATCTTTTCAATAATATACAACAATTCGACAATCATCATCGTGTGCATCATCGACAATATTATCGTCTGAGGGAATCCAGATTGGAGTCACATTCCATAACACGTGAAATTAATAACGTGGGAATCGAACGTGGGTTAAGTGCAGTTACGAAAAGCTTCATCAATAATAGCCACATATAATTCCCACCCTCTAAATTTAAAAACACCAGCCCTCTGGAATGCAAAGCTAGGAAGCAAACCAAACCATATTTCCCGATGAAAATTACAAGTGTACAAAATAAACATCCCCCTGTGCCCACGCTAATCTATAAGCCCATCAGCATTTCCATCAAGAACTATGCCGGGGCCTATAGAAGTGCCGGTTCCACCTACTGTCGCATTGGTTAGACTTGCAATCATATAGGCAGCCCTTCTATTTCTGCCAGGATAAAGTGTGGTCCGTATTTTTGTCAATGGCAAAACATATTTTGAAGGCGCTTTTAAGTCTGAAGATCGGTAAAATTTAGTTCGTCTGCGGGAAAAATTTTGCTCTGTTTCGGCGTACTTGTTAACGCTTGAAAGCGTTTAAACCTTATATCTAGTTATTCTCTCGAACCTTTGCTAAATTGCTGTTATTGGAGGTCTCGTTACTGTAAAAAAATGCTTTTATCAACAACTGATGCATATTAAAAGTTGGTATACCCTTCTAATATTTCATTTCCTCCGTTTAGGTCAACAGTATTACTTTTTAAGTGCAGTTTAGTATTTATTATGCAAAATGTCCTAAGACATGGGTCAACAGTTCAAAAGCCACATTGTTGTTGTTTCCTGTTCTCTATTGTCCCCTAGTGTATACTGGAAAAACTTGCGTCAATTGGGCGGCGCTGTGCCCAAATGCCTTACGATACCGGTACATGTGTACTATTGATAACTGGTAAATATGGACTAGTTACAATCACAATTACACATCTGAGACTCTCCTGCCTCACCCATCCAAAATCCGAGGATAGAAGTCGTTCTATGACATTCGGCCATTTAAACCTCGCTGAAGCTGGACAATTTTGTCGCCATGGATACGCTGTTATTTGCCACCAAGTGACAGTTGGTGTTTTGGGAAAGTATCGAGTTCGCTATGACTGTGAGAAATGTTGAATATCACATGCTTGATACTTTACATCCCATTTAATGGTCAACAGTATTCTTTTAACTGCAGTATAGTGTTTTCTACGCTAATGTTCTATGCCATGGTTCAATAGTTCAAAAGCCACATTTTTGTGGTTTCCTGTTCTCTATTGCCTTCTAGTGTATACTGAACAAACTGTCCCTTAATTATAATAAGTATAAGTATAAGTTTATTTCGACTCCATAATCAGCAAAACAATAAAATGAATGCTAAAAATAAATAAATAAAAACTGATTATGAAATCAGGAGAGCGAACAAAACCTTAGATAAGGTTTAAAACGTACAGAATGTATATAAGATGGAAGGTTTTGCCAAGAACATGTGGTACGTGTTCACTCACCTAAAATAATTGAAATATTTCACACACGCTCACACGCACCCACATACACAACCATATAGAAGTTATTAAGTAAAGGGAACATGAAAAATTACATACTGGTAGTTAATAAAAAATAAATAAATAAAAATTACTTGCCACACCATATTTATAAATTTATCATGATTGCCACTGCCAAATTGATCAATTTTGTAAATGGGAGTGAACAGTAAAGATAAACTTTTATAAAAAAATATATTGTCAAGCTGATTATAGATGGAGTCAAATGCCAAAATGCCCAACCAAAGTTGCCAGAATTGGGTGCATGAAGAGGTGGGCTAGACCACTTCATTGCCCAAACTAGAGCCTATTATTGCCAAATTGTAGTCCAGATTGCAATAAGTATTTAAATCTATCAGTAACTTTATAAGTATGAGTAATTATAATTAATTAAGGTAGAAAGACAGGGTATAGGAATATGTTGGTTGCTAAGGTTATAAGGTTTTTTTTTTCATTCTTAGATATTGACTTCTGCAAGGATAAAGGAATTAGGAATAAAGGAATTAGTATTGTTAATTGGAGCCGGCACCCAGTTGTCTATCTGGTCCTTGCGTACTATTGATATGAACTGATTACAATTACATATCCGAGACTGGTTAAAATGATATTACGCCAAATGAAAGTTGGTGACAAATAGCCAGATTGTAGCTAACTCTCACGGCTCTATCCACCAAAAATCCGAGGATAGCAGTCGTTCTATGACATTCGGCCATTAGAATTTCGCTGAAGCTGACCAATGCTGCCAGCACCACCATGAAAATCATGTCATATAAACACAAAAAACTACCCGGTATTGCTGTGTTTGGAGTTGTTCGTCAACAATTTTAAGTTTTGGGCTTAGCATTGGTCTTTCATATGCAATGCTCGGTGGTGGTGGCGCATCGTGCTAAGCGTATGGTTCAGGTAACTGCTGGTCGGTTACTGCTTCCTACACTATCAAGTCCATGCTTTCGAAAACAAATAACTGGCCAACTAATCCATACATGGCCTGGACTGGTAACCGGACGAGGGACTGTGGTTCGTCATATGATTAAGTCGTCTTATCGCCTTTCTGAATACGTAAATCCTATCCTATTTTCTTTGCAGGCAGCCCAGGTGCATAAAGTAGGCTAGTTAATTAACCAGTACAACACAACAGATGCGTGGACTAGGGCAATTGCATCAATCATCTTACCCTGACATGGGCAAACCACGGCCCGCATAATTCAATCTGGTTCGCCTGATGCTGCCGCAACCAAACTAAAACAAATTTTTGATGTTTTAGCTGAAAAATAGATCAAGGAATTATTTGAGATAGCGATTAAATATAGTTTTGGCACGAGGATCATTTTTTTCTACATCTCCTTTTGTAACACTGTAAATATTGTTTGTAAAATGTAACTTTTTACGTCACATTTACATGGCCCGACAGTGTATGCGAACAATATTTTTTCCCTTGGTCCAAAAACCTTGCCCACCCCTGATCTTACCAGTACCTGTACCACCCAGACAGAATCAAGTGAAACAAAGCTTGCAAAATTTTAGTTGTAGACAATCCAGGTATTGGGCACACTGATTATTTAAACAGATTTTACTACGATTAAACAAAATATCACACAAAATTCAAAAAAAGCTTTAAAAAAATGGCAAATAAACAAGTTTGGAATAGAGAGACCTAACAGATTATGCAGCACGGTATATGTTGGGCTGTATGTTGCCAATGCCATTTTGTATCATGAATGCATAAATTCTTTAATGAAATATATATTTCACTTTCACAAAAATCGAAATAACATACCAAATAAAAGGTATTGTAGAATCAATGACAATTTCAATAATGAATTTTCATCATGGTTCGCTTGATACATGAAAAAAAATGAAACTGATTGCGAATGCAGGTTTGCATGAAATTAACCAATTTAAAGGGTGTGTTATCCACAATGTCATACTCAAAAGTCTCAATCAAGGGGAGAAAATGCGAGATAATATGCACTCAACTAGTCTGTAAGCGTTAAGATTCTTGAATTGTTTTATTCAGTCAAAGATTGCTATCAACATTAAACTGTGAATAAATCAGGTTGTTATTTTTAATTTTTTCTTATATTTCGAAAATTTAGAGAACGAAATTTTTTATTATTTCTATTTTTTTTAAAAGTTAGGGAAATATGTGAAGTCATGAAGAAAACACGACATTTGGCACATTGTGCTAACCGTTGGGAACCATCACAAAAAAAAACAATATACGCAGTAAATAATTTGGACCTAGAAAGTCTTCAAATCAGTCTTAGGAAGACATGAGACTGTTCACTAAAAGCCTTGCATAAAAACACCTATAATTGTGAATTAGACGCTCTGTTCATATATTGAAAATGAACAAATTCAATTTTAATGAATTGTATAAAACTCTTAAAATACATCTTCGATTTGAAACAAAAATAAGCCAAGCTTATGAAATCATTTACAACATTTTCATAATTTGTTCTATTGATATATGACAAAAGGACATATTAAGGCATGTCTTCAATTATATATATTTTTAAGATCTGTAGCAAATAAGAAATAATTAGTTTATGTGTCAGCACTGTACTTTGCACACATATAAGTTGACTCTGGAGCACTTTCACTAAAACATCTGAACTCTGGAACCCCTTCTACTTCCGGCCACATTTTTGAGTAAATGTAATAGAGAAAGCAAGAATACTTGGAAGCAAAGAAATTCCAAAATCCAGTTGAGCTATTTTTAAACACATGCCTAACATTCTCGTCGTCTTCTAAAAAGTGAGTGTAGCGGTTGCGAAAGAAACGCATAAAATCATACAAAGAATGCCTTTGGTCGTTGTGGTTGTTGTTTATGGCTACTTTTTGGATTGTTGTAGGAAGGATAATTTCTTCCTCTTCATTCAATTCGCACAATTCACCATTAGGTATCTGGAGAGAATTAATCCATCCGTATTCAGAGAATACGAATTCACCAGACATTTTATATTGTGTACATAACTTGACATCATATGCCCTTTCATACCCTGTTCCAAATCCATTTTTCATCTTGAAATAGTCAAAAACAGCACATATAAACTGACACTTTTTTGGCTCTGACCAAAAAAATGGATGATGTAAAATTTCTTCATAGTCAATGTACTCATTACCATTGTGCTCCATTTTATACTCTCCATCATACATTTTAGTCACTAAATCAAAAGCTAAAATCGGTTCTTTGCAGCACAAAAACCCGGTCAAGTTTTCAATTTGTTCAAGAGAAATATTTCCTTGTTCTACATTTGTTTCTGCGCGATTTTCTTCGTTTTTTTCTGTTATTAAAATAGATAATAAAGTAGACGCATTCACTCTTTGCCCTTGTTCACACATTTCTCTTAGTCCATTGAATGTTTCGTCATTTGGAGAAGTATCATCAGATACACGACCATTAGAAAGGAGATAAAGTGCAAATATTGCAAAGTGTTTCAGGCTGTCAATGTTGGACAGAGACGCAGGACTTGCAATAGCGAACTGCTTTTTGTCTTTAGACAAATAAACATATGAAGGGTTAATGGGTGTATCATGCATGTACTTTAAGCAATGTGTCACTTTTTGAAGTAACTCAATACAAAATGCAGTAGAAATTCTACTGTGCAGGTGTCCGCCATTGTTTGTACCATGCACTTCACGACGTTCTTCAATCCGAAATCGCATTTCCATTATTTCACGAATCGAATAATCAAATAGGACACTGTGTCTAGTTTGCTCTTCTTGTAAAAATGTCACATAATGATAGACAAGATCTGACTCAAAGCGACTTGCATTCCATGTGTACTCCACCTGCCTTCTAGAATTTCCCCGATTCTCAGCCATTACAAATAATATTGTTTACATTTCGCAAAATTGATCAATACAGCTATTATGCTATATCTAAAAAATGACAAAGATTTGTATTTTAAAATCATACTTTACAAATTAATTTCAACAAGATGGCCAAATTCTGGATATACGGGAAAAAATCAAATTGTATAAAAAAAACATATGAATCTGACAGGTTTTGTAGCATGCTTATAATTTGTCATAAAATCTATTTTGGATGATGTAAGAATTTAGTCAGGTACATTTTCATCCAAGTATTTCCATTGCATTAGCCAATTTCAATAAAGATTCACAATTTCACTGACTCATAGCAGACAAATCATGCTAGAACGGATTGTTCTCATCTATCATTGTTACTGGATTGAAGAGTGACAAATTCACTAGGCACAATTTTTCATTTGCAAACATATTGAAGAAATCAAGAAAGATTAGATGGAATTAAACGTAAATTACCGTGGATACCAAAAGCTGAAATTAATAAGGCAATCTAACATATATACAATGCAAATGATCAGAATTATTAAAATGAAGTTTGAATATAGAGTAAGTAACAAAACATGCATCGCAATTTCTCACTAGTACACAGTTCAAAATCTTCAGAAGGATTATTATGTCCAAAATATGTCATGCATACAAAATATAAAAATATACAAGGTGGGAAGTCAAGGCACAGGTACCACATAATCATAATTTTTGATTTGAGCTTGTTTCATCAAAAACATAAATTAGCGTCCTAGAAATTTATGAAACTCACAAGTTCTGTAGAATACCTAGGACTGATAACACTCTGTAACACTCATTTTGTTTCCGATTTCTCATTATTATGTTCCGATTAATCACGGCCCAAAACCCAATTTTTTTACAAATTTTTTTTTTTTCAGAAACTGGAGGGATTTCCCCAGAATATTTTTTTTTTGTGATATTAAAGACCGTAAAACTTTCAGTATACCACTGGATATTAAAAACACTAAAAAATACCATACTGTGTTATACTGAAAGTTTTACGGTCTTTTATATCACAAAAAAATATTCTGGGAAAATCTCTCCAGTTTCTGAAAAAAAATCCAGAGATATCCTCTTTGCATTCTATGTGAGAAATCTTAAAATTAACTCATTTTAATAACTTTTTAGCTTAAAATGACCTAACTTGATAAAAAAAAACGGATTGGTAGTAACCATCGGTCACTCATTGTACTGTGATTGGTAATGGACGTTTATAAACCAATTATGTTGCAATAGTGGGTGAAAAGGCAAATTTTAATTGTAAAATTGAAAGGTTCCCATGTGATATTGCCATGTGATGCTGGAAATATCATTTGGGGCTGTTGTACGGTAAGATTGTGTGACTCTACTATCTGCTGAATTCCACTGTCTTTAGGCAAAAAAGGACCAAACAAAACTGAATTTTTCGGCGGTCGCAGCTAAATATTGATGTCAATGTTGCGTTAAAAATTTTGCTTTTTTCACACACTATAGCGTCATAATTTGATTGTGAACGTTCCAACCAATTACAGTACAATGAGTGACTACATTTGGGGGCCTTTTCAATAAATCGACTTGGACTATAATTGGAAATTAAGAAAAAAATCTCCTTGCAATTTTTGATCATTTTAATTGAAAAACATTAAAAAGTGTTTGTATTAATTTCTTTGTAAAGTAAAAAATTTTCTTACATAGAATACAAGGTGATTTTCTCAATGTACATGTCGAAAGCGAAGAGGAAATCCAGGAAAAACATGGTATGAATATTTCCGGAGTACCGTATTCGTACCAATGTGGGGATTAAATAAGGCAAAGTATTATAAGGAAAAATGCCCAGGTACGAATACTCCTGGAGCGTCAAAATTCTAGTTTAATCTATTTTAAATATTGAATATCTTGTGGGAAAAAATATATAATGAGCATACTGAAATAGATATAAGCAACTTTGCTATCTAAGGATTGATACTTACATTGCCAGTAAAAATATATTCACAAACACCAGGATAAAAGATATCGTACAGAATTACAAATGAAACCGAGTTTGAAAATGAACATTTGAACTAATGGAAATGATTTGAACTCCCTCTTAATACTAAAAACTATAATTAAAAACTTGTTATTTCAAATTACTGCATTATAATAATTCTCTTCAATGTTTCAATATAACAAAAAAATATCTGGATTATCTCCCACAAAATTTTCAAATTTCAGTTCCTTAATAATGATGACCTTGACTTCTTGGTCAGACAAATTGAAAGAATACATAGCAAGTTGCAAAAGAATATGTTTAAAGGTTGCTAAAATTAAAATGAGGAATGCATGCTGAAAGACTGAGCCCTTTTCACACTTTCTCGAAAATAATTTATTTTAATCATGTAGTAGTAGGTTGTGCTTGTCTATCCTTAGGTTTCAAAATATCGCCATTCCCAAGTATAACTTTTGTTTCCTTAAATGAAGAAAAAGAAGATATGACAGAGTGGTCAGAAGGGAGTTATGAGGTCGCTGCACTCATATTAATATTATAAGGGTCTTACAAGCAGTATTTAAATAAGATAACACAGCTGATAAGATTGGCTGAGTAGGACATAAGATATATATTAAATTGCTTTTTATTGTCCCTAATCTTAGCACAAACGTGATTCCAAAGTGCATTTTTGTTAATATCACTTCTTTGTTGACTGAGACTTTTGTAAGTCTTTCTCCACACAAATAAATTATCGCAGTATTTCAAGAATTACCTTTTCTTTTGGAAGTGTATCCAATCTATGTTGCAAAATCCTTTTGACTTGAGGTTTAATAGATTTGATTTTAAAAATCAGCTCTTTTGAGACATTTCGTAGAAGTTCACAGACTGCTTCAGCGTGACGTCGTGTTACAATGAAAGTCGGAGCATTTTCACTTATATTCAGTGTCTCAACCTAAAATAGATCATAGTAATTGTTATAATTTGGAAGTTCATTTTATTAATATAACAATTTTTTATCAAGAAGAATAAGAGGAATGTGAAGCAGTTAACTTGAAGCCACCTAATGACGATCAAATGTCAAGTACATTCTATGTATTCAAATTCTTCCTCTTCGTCTTTTCAAAGTGTATTTTTTTTGCTGATGAATCAGTATAAAATCTAACTATATATCTACTTCTTCCGACCCATAATCATGTTTTTAATAATTTAATCCCAGCAACATATGCCTGGTTATCCGTGCTAGGCTTTCAACTATGTTTTTAACACTCTGCACAATGTGCCATTTGTACACCTATAAAGAATTTTGAATTGAAAAACTGAATGAGTTTGATTATTGATCATATCAAAACTATCTATTATTCTGTTTTCTAAGTTGAAGTCTTACTAACCCACCTGGTTATACTTTTCTTTCAATGTTGAGCTAAATTCACGAATATTTTCTACAGAAAGCATGCAATTGCTCATATCGACTTTCTTCATGCAACAACTTTCCAGCAGACGAGCTACATCAACAATTCCGTTTTGAAGCTTACGATTTTGTGATATATTCAATTCTTCAACCTAGAACAAAATGTATATTTTAGAGCAGGATGGTCCAAAGTTGTCGGCTCCAGACGCCACAAAATTATTTTTGCATTGGTCGCAGGCCACAATAGTGTCAAGAATAGGTAACAGTGCAATACAAAACAAACACTTTCATTGTGCAGAAACATTGATCAGTATTTGTCATTTATCAAGCTAAAACATGCAAAAACCACCAAAAAACTTACTAAAACCTACAAAAGTTAGTCTATATCTACATTTAGTGTGAGATTTCAAACTCCTCATAACGGAAAAAGTGCTTCCACAAATGTAAGTGCTTCTGAACATCGATAAGATTTTCAAAGCGAAATCTTGATTTTGGAAAATGCTCATTGCTCACAAGATTCTAAACTGCCATTTTAAATTATATTCTTCTGTCACCGACACATCTTGCAGACATATCCAGCGAGCATTGTGGTATTTTTTCTCCCACATCCAGTTAAAAATCTGTTTGCGTTCGTCAGCTTTCATTTCTAACCAATGATGTTTAATGTCATTGTTTCTAACTCATGTTTACAAAATAACCTACAAATAACTGCAGATTGATTGATTACCAAATGTGAGGTACAGCAGAGTAATTAATAAATTTTTCGACAAATAGGCAGCATTTTTTGTAATACTGTTTAGGCAAAAAACACCCAGCATGAATTATATTATTAGGCCACAACATTAGCCAACCTAGGCTAATAGAATCCGCATTCGATTTTTAGTTTTCTATGATGCTAATATTGTTAGCATATATTCCCGACCAAAAAGATAGGAAGCCAGATAACAATTTAGACTGCTAAGCACATACTTTAATTCAACTTCGCCAGTTGTCTCAGTTCAGTGACATTAGTGATGTAACAATATGTCAAAAAAAAATTTCTGGTTAATTTTATGACGAAACTACACCAAATTCGATATTTTGATTACTTTCCAAATGTGACGCGGGCCACAGTTAATATAGATGCAGGTCATATGTAGCTCATGGGCCTGGGTTTGGACCACCCTGTTCAAGACATCTAGAGCAATGATTCTCAACAGCCGGTCCGCAACCTTGCTGCCGGTCCGCCAAATACGTTCCAATATCGATATACGATAAGCAAATTTCAAAATACAAAGTATTGACAGAATGTCCATTAATTTTGTGGTTTTTCACCTCTTATTGATTCGTAGTACCGGTATTCGTCTAACAACCGAACTTGGTAAGAAGCCCATTTTAAGCCCTGAACGGCTGAATGTTCGTTAAGTCTATTAAGTCAAAACGCCGGAACGTCATAACGGAGGAGTTTGATAGCACATAGTCTGGTACCTAATTGAGAACATCGCAGTCCGCACGTTCCGTAAGTTGACAGTAGACCTATAATTTAGCGAAATGGAGTAAAATGTAGGCAAACAAACAGCAAAGTATTATCTAGTTCTTTCAAAAGAAACCCAGAGGTGAAAACCAAGTTAGTGGTTTTGACAGGACAGAGGAAGAGACTGCTACTCCAACTTTACAACCATGCCCCGGGATCACGCAGAAACAAGCAAAAAGCGAAAGGGAGACTTTATTAGGCAGTACGATAAGAAGTATTTGGAGCTAGATTTCCCTATTGCTGCCAGCAGCAAAAAAGTACCGCTTCCCATGTGCCTAGCCCGCGCCAAAATTGTTTCAAACGACGCAATGAAACCCGCAAAGCTAACGCGACATTTTCACTCGCCGCATAGCAACCTCGTTGGAAAGCCTAGCGTATTTCATTGTACTTTTCTTGTAATTTGCATTCTTTTTATTATGTTTTGTGTTCATGACATTTTTGGTTAATTTTGAAGGTTCGTCGGTCCGTAAAATTTGTCTTAAAATTTACCTGTCCGCGAACTGAAAAAGGTTGAGAACCACTGATCTAGAGCATTCTGAGAGTGCCCTTATGCTGCATAAACATGTGTTAACATCATTACATGTACTCTATGTATAATTACTCACCATAATTTTCTCTTTCTCAATTGATACTCTGAACTCTTCCATGAGTTTCTTATTTAATGCACAACCTGCTACGTTCAGATTTTCAACTTTGAAGTTGACCACTGTTCTACCAAGTTCGGCCATTCCTTCAGAACCAAGAGTTGTATTGTAGCTGACGTCAAGTTTTGATATCTGTAATCGAAAAGTTTTTCAGTTATCTGAGTCTATACTCTCTGCAACATCATTTTTAAAAATATTAAAAAGCTCATATGTAAATATTGATTGGTAGTATTTCATTCATGCTACTTCAAACTTGAGTGAAATCTGTTTTATCTGTTTACTTTTTGTTTTGTTTTTGTTAGAGAACCAAAATAAATGATTGATTGATAAATAGGTCAAAAATTCAGATGGTTGAAAATGAAATTCTAAACTGACATAAGTATTTACATAAGTAAAATCTTCAATTATAAATGAACAAACAAACAAGAGAGCTATGCTCAAATATATGGACACGTAGCGCCACCCAATAGCAATAATTTTTTAATGACGCCATAGCGAAAAAAAAGTAATAGCCTTCTGGAGAAAAATTTTATCTTTAACCAAAATTAAATTTCAAAGCAATTGGTCCAGTATTCGAAGAGTAAAGCGATTTTTTAAAAATGATGGAGACAAATAACAATAACAACAAAATTTTAAAACGATCGTTATGTCCACTAAACGTGTCCAATAATATATTTTGTTCTGTAAAAATTCTCTAAATCAAATAGGATTCAATTTGGAAGTTACCACCGTTTATCCCGTAATTCATATATCAGTATGGTACAATTGTTTTTTGTACTTTCCATTCCAGCTATTTCTACTAATATCTGGATATGCTATGTTACATCCAATGTATCTGGTAAATTGCCAATATACCTCTGCAGACTTAGGTACTTATTGTTAACTTATACCTGAAAAATATATTTCAGTATTTAGACCTCTATCAGTCTACACTGGTAATGTTATACAGTTACCGGGTAAGGTATGGTACCGTACAGTTGCCCGTTTACCGGCAGTGAACTAATATAACTTATTTTTTTAATATCATAAAACTCATTGTGTCAGCGTGATTTTACAGCTCACTCTTTCTACCGATACCGGTACCTCCACATTGTAAACATGTGGTTATCTAGATTCTAGGTCCTCTAGGACACCTTCAAAATTCCCTAGACTTATTTTCGTAACTGGACTTGCTTAAAGCGATTTCGTTGAAATGGGGAATTCCCCACCCATCGAATTCCCCACCCATCTGTTGGTCTTATGGTCCTAATCTCCCCTATATAATCTATGGTTTAATTTGCTATCCCATACGGTACTCATCTTAAATATAAGGTATAGTAGTTTCAGAACTCTTGGATTCATACTTTTTTAATAGATATCAGAACCTTGGGTGTCGCTGCTCGATAACCAGTTTGGTCCCCGCGACTTCCTTACTCCAGTAAAACTGTGTAAATTATTTTTGTCATAATTTATGATTGTGATATTTTTTACTGGTTGGAAAAAATAAACTTGACCCTAACGCATCATAGCTATAAAGGCAAAAAATGTTTTGCCAACCCAAATCATTTATTTTAAATTTAACAATATACTTTTGTATTGCTGTTGCATGAACTTTGCAAGCTCTTTAGTTTTGCTTCATCCAATTCACAGCATCTCACATGTAAATTTCTCAACTGAGAATTTGCAGACATTTGTCCAATAATCTTGAATCCTTCCTTCGTGATTTTGGTGTTCCCACTTACATCTAGAGTTGATATCTAAAATGATCAAAATTCAGTTATAAACCTAAGCCTTACTAAAATAAACATCATCATTACCTCCTGGTGGATATTTTCCTTTATTTTTATTTAGTTTAACGTATTTCATATCTCAAAGGATCTTATGGCGGGCCATAGGGGTTAGGAAAGTCTGGGTTAGGAAAATTAGAGAAATTTGATAAGCTAGCAATAGGGTTCAATAACTTAAGTATCGAGATCTATTATATCTAATATATCACCTGTTTATTCTTCAAAACACCAAACAAATTTGAGAGCTTGTCGTCAGTTAAGTCACAATCAAACAAATTGATTGTTTTCACAGGTAATATATGAATAATTTCACCAAACTTGTGAAATCCTTCCATTCCCATTTTGGTGTTGTGACTCACAGACAATACACTGAGTGAAAATTTTGAATTCTGAATAATAAAAACAAATCGAATTAGTGTCCTAGAATCATATCAAACTAAAGTCTGTTGTTTTGAACCAATAGCAACTTAAATACTAATTAGTGACTTGAACTTGAACAGTATTGACATTGCATATTAAAATGAAGATTCAAACCCACTTTGAACCTATCACCAATTGCTTATTAAATTGGTTATACTTAATGACAAACTGGAATATCCCAGTCTTCATCAAGTCTTTGTGCCTAAATATATTGCCTTCAATTGTCGAAATTATACAAATAAGTTTCATCCTTATGTCGTCACAAAAGCAACACAAACATATTGCTATTTCACATAAAACACATATAGGTGTTTTAAGCATGTCAGAGTACAATATTCAAGAGTGACCTGAGCAGATCTAAAATGATTGTATTGTTTATATTTTTACCAAGACTTTGTGATGCTTACGATATCTGTGTGTATTTTTTTTTCAACTACTTTTGAGACTGATTAGTGTTTTGTCCATCAAGTAATATTTGTTCCTAAGTACAAAATTTCATTCAAATATCTACCAAGCTTTTTATATCTTCAAGTAACTGATCCACATCTTCATCTTCAAGCTCAGCTGCCTGAATCTTCAGTGATTCTGTTTCAGATTTTGCCAAAAGCTTCAGCAAGGATTGTGAATAAATTTTCAGGTTTTTCATTTCCCCAATACTTATTTTTGCAATCTGAAATATGACATATCTTTTTACCTATAATACCAATAGCTTTACTCTATATTTTATCAAATTGTCTTTATGTTAGAATGTAAAAAAACTAAGTTTTAAGCACCAAAGAATAGCTCCGAAGTGATAAATATATCAGTGTTCGGCAAACCATAATTAATGGTAGAAACATGCTTTTTTACTTTGCATAGCTTCATAGCAGTGACGTAGCTGGGGTTTAGGGTCCAAACCCCCTTTTTATTAACACTTTTGAAGAATTAAAAAATTCTTAACACATGTGAGTGATTAAATTTTGTTAAAACCGCCAATTTTTTTGATTGAAAAGTGGTTATATAAAATACTAAAAATAGAACGAAAACACCATCCGATTTGTTTTAGAAGGCCCGATTTTTTAGACATTGTAAATCATAAAACTTTGTGAACGTTATGATTGGTTGCCCTGGAAACTATACTAACACTGAAAACGAAACATATTTAATCGTGAGCGCGGTCTACATTTTTTTTATCCATTCTCTAACTAATGCTGGGACCTGATGCGTTTTTTCAGGATTATAGATATATATATACATATATATTTATAGTTAATTAAGTATAATGTTCTACGGATTTTTTGTTTTACTAAAATAAATGCGGATTGCTGTGGTTATTTGAAGCAGCAATTTAGTTGTAGTAAAATTGATGCAATTGCAGGTTACGTTGAACTCAATTAAATTTTAAAGACATTTTTGAGACATTTTACATAGGGTATCGTATTGGTCATGGATTGATGACTTTGCGCAAACAAAAAATCATTATTCGTTCAAAAAGTTGGCTCTTTGAACAAGTGGCGCAATAGTGGTGACTGTTTCAGATGCCCATCTGTGGGAATTATGATATTGTATTTTTGAAAAACTGATATACTTTTCTCACATTTTTATGTCCGCCTCGTGATAGTATAGTGGTTTTATTTTGTCAAGTCAACGCAACCGCGAGTTACAATTAAGCACAAGCACAATTAAATTAATATAGAAAAACATATTAAATTCTCGTAGTTGTGATGGACTGAATATTTTACACAACAGAAAAATCATTATTTGCTGAAAAAGTTGGCTCATTCTACGAATGTGTTAGCATTGCATGGGAAATTTTAATTTCGAATCTCCCCTGCTTGACAGTCTCGGATCGCATGAAGAGTAATTATGTGCAAGAAGAATTACTACCCTTCTCGTATTTCTTGCGGGGTGGTCAACCTTCACTGGTTTCCTTTAAAGTCATTTATGTAGATCAACTAACTCATTAGCAATTTCAATTTGAACCTAGACTGATAAGTGTATTATATGCATGGTTTGCCATTTGTGTAACCTGTTTTATCAACTTTCCTCCCATCATGTGGGATGAATATAAAAAAATATGGTAACCTAATCTACATACCTTGCAGTTTGTCCCTTCCAATTTTTCAAAAAATTTGTTGAGATATTTAGATGTTCCACAATTCTGTACATTCAGCATTTCAAGATTATCTAATTTTGAGATTGTGGTGAGAAAGACCTCAATATTCGCATCATTCAAGTTGTAACGTTTTATTGATATATCTTTTATGGCCTCACAAATCACCTCTTTTTTGTCATCTCGATGTTTGTAAAGCACCTCAACAAGGTCGTATGTGACTCTTGCATCTTGAATATCACTTTTCAGAAGACCTAAGGGGATTTAAATTAGCATTATGGAAGCTGATAGGCTCAATTTTATTATAAGAACTTAGAATCATTCATAAATTTATAAAAAAAATTTGACAACGATAATAAATTTTGTTGTTCAAGTCAGGCAGTGGGACATGGCGCCCTTTCACACCTAGTAATGAATATTGTGATGTCACAATCACAAACTCAAGAAAAACTTCAGAATGTGAGCATTGAGTACCCAGTAGCTGTTTTAGACACAGCTACTCAAAACTTTCAGAAAATTATGATTATATCAAGAATTACCAAATATTTACCTTTTTGCTGTTCATAATTTTCTTCAGGTTTGTCACTTCTTCGAGATGGAGCGTTTTCAATTTGAGACGATGTTGAATATGAAGCAGGGGGGTAGTAGGGCTGTGCATCTAAATATTGAACATTAAAACATAGTTAGGATTATCGCTATTGCAAGACAATATGCAAAAATGACTTGACTTCAAATGTTATGAATAAACGCCACAACTTAACTTCCTGTTTCATTTTTATTTCAAAACTCTGTAGTCATTGATTCAACTCTATAAAATTTACTTTCAAACAATTTGGGGGGGGGGATGGGGGTGATCATGGTATATAATTTGGGCCTCCTGAAGTATGCGCACCAAGATGGCGCACAACCTGAACTCAGGTTGTGTACCAGGTTAGGGTTCAGGTTATGCATCATCTTGGTGCACATACTTCAGGAGTACCGATAATTTTATATTTTTTGAGAGGGGCGTGAAGCTAATAAAAAATAAAAAGATTTGTCAGATTTGATCTTGTACCTTATTTTGGATATTCACGATTCTTTACTTTGGATATTTACGTTCGATCTACGTTGGCAAACTTTGATATCAAGCCATTAAATTACTGCTGTTTTTTTTAGCACTTACTTATGTGACAAAAGATTTTCATCGTTATCTTTCATCAGGACCAAACAGAGAAATAGGCACTTTACTTCGCCTTGTAGAAACTTTATTAGAACTGCGTTCAATATGTTTGATATCAAAAAGACAGCAGCAAACTTTTGTTCAAATTGAATTGTCTGTCTTTTAATGGCAAAGTTTTGTTGTACCGGTAATTACATTGATTTAATTACGTTTTCTGTTCAGTTTTTGACATTTTTTGTGTTGGTCCGAAAAAATAGTTTTGAAATTTGACAGGTCCACGTGCTAGAAAGGTTGAATGAAACCCACTGTTCTAGATTCTTCAATTTTCTGTGTATAATTAGTTACATATTCCATTAGTTACACTCTAACCAAATAATATATGCCAAGATTCACATGTTTTAAAAATTGACTTCAGTCATGATTATGCACATGCAAAATGCCAATTTACTTTAATTTATACTGAATATATTGTAATATATATAACCTTGTATATTAACACCATAAACATATTGCTTGAACCACACTACTCAAAATATTGACTATTAACATATGGCAGACTTACCATATAGACTTAGTTCATTTTTTTGTTGAATTTCTTCAACTTCAGTTGTAGGGATTTTGCTTCTGAAAACAAAATTTATGTACATAAGAAAGCAGAGTAAATTTTCTTGGCTGGATTTTGTTTTGTTGGATTGTCGCGTTTATCACCTAAAATCACTCAAAATTAGATAATGGGATTTTAAATCCTCAAATATGGATTGAAAAGCCGGATTTGTCCATCATGCTAATTTATGAGAATCCACTAGGAATTTATGAGTAGATTAACCGAGCAGTACCTAAAGAACAAGATACTTTTACTGCCATAATGAGGTTGATTGTCATAATGCTATGATATTGAAATTTACTAGGAGGAGTTTATGACTAGAATGACTGAGCAGTGGTTCAAGGATAAGATCCTTTTACTGCCATAATGAGGTTCAGGCTATAATTTTAATTGAAGAATCTCAGATCCTAGTCTTCGTATGTGTGAAAATTCAATCCCAATTATCATTTCAATTAGGGTGACATAAAAATTATGAGCCAAATTGTTTTCAAGATGCAATTTGTGCACTTTCTTTTGGCTTTTCTGGTCAAAGATCATAAAAATAAGATTTTATAATGATATTGTATGGTAACCATGACGGATGTGCATTTACACTTAGACATTGGTCTTAACAAGGCTATGAAAAAATCTATGATCTGTTGATGTGAAACTTGTTTCATAAACAAATTTAGTCAGACACAGAATGGGTATTGATGGTAAGGATACAGTAATCATAATGAAGACTCAAATATGAAACAAATCTATCATTATTTTTTGGCTATGTACATATTTTATCTCACCTTGGACTACTACCAGAATCTCCATCTGAAGTTCTTCTTCTCTTCACACCAGCAGTTCTAGATGAAGTATCACCTTTAGAATAAAATATTGAATTATCACATTGCACAAGAAAAGTAACATAAATTAAGGATAGATTGAAGTTCTATATTCCTTTTATTATTGTACAGATTTTATTAAATTTATAATAAATTAATTCAGTTCTAAATTAAAATCATTACTGGTATACTTTATATTCCATGTTAGGCCACTAACACTTGTTTTCCGGTCTAAAATCTCTTTCATAATTATACACTTCAATTACCTATTCAAATATAGACTATACAAGTCCTTATACATAGAAATCACTGGAGTAATGACTTAATTATGCTGCAAATGCTGTTTATATGAATAGCATTTTAGAAATGAGAGAACTTCAATATCAAAAAGGTAATCAAAATGGCACAAAAGGAAATGGTGGTCAAAATAAATGTTTTTACAGAGTTTGAATACTACGTAATGTTTACAACCAATTAATTAATTAATTATTTTGAATTTATAGGTAGTTTGACTATTTGTTTAAATAAATAATTTAAACAACTCTAATATTAGCTAGCTATTAGCCTAAAATGTGAATAGAGGCTTCAATACACCTCACTCCCAAAATTTATTTTTGTCTAAATTTGAATACATTCTCTTATTTGTGCAGAGGCATGATATCCTCTTTTATGTAGATAATTTAAATCGTACAAATTTCATTAAAAGCAAAGCCTATCTTGAAGAACTTATCGCTCCAATAACGTTTTTGCCACATGCTAAAGATCTCTATCATAGTCATAATCAATACAAAAGAAAACGCTTGCAGGAGTAAGAAAATGTGCAAACTGTGTCAAGCAAAGATGATTATGGTCTTTCCAAGTTTTGTAGCTTTTAACGTAAGATTACGATCACTATAATGCTTTGTTTTTAATGAATGTGGAAATAATGTGAGAAATAAGCTGCATAAGTAGGATGGTATTTACATACCGGTAATTATCCCAAAGGAATGGAAAGTTGATTAGACAGCGCAAGCATATGGCGTACCACAGCCTCTCGTCCGGCTACCAATCCATGTTAAGTATGGGACTTCCAAACCATGAGTTACCGGTAGTTATTTGTTATCAAATGCATGGACTTGATGATGGAGGAAGATGTAGCCAGTCAGTGGTTAATTGAATCATACTACGACAATGTCTTCTATCAAAAATAATTATCCCCGACAAGATTCTAACCAGCAAATTCTCAGAGGGTTAGCAAGGGTGCAATGGCAAGCATATTCCTAACAATTAGAACCATGTGTCACACTGCCGCATGTTTGGATTGCCCTGGATTGTTGGAAAAATTCAGAATTGTTGGAATGTTATGTGAGAAGGTTTGGCACCAGTTTTTTGAAGTTATAGTCATATCTTTAAATAATTATATAGTTCTAGCTAAGTTGTTATCAGGTCGGCATGATGAACTTATTTAAATCAAGTTCTAAACTGTTTGACTATAGCCCCAAAGTTGAACCCTTGGCTCACCCTAATGTTGGATATAGCTGGCCGACTGTTCAAAATGACCACCTATGCCTTTTTAATGCTAAAATTTCCACTTTATTGTTAAGAATACAAATATGACCTGAGCGTGCCATGCATTTTAATGCTAAAATGACCAACAGAGAAGCAATTTTGCTACCCTTCTTATTGCAGGGCTATATGTAAACACCCTCTTTTTGGGTGTGAAAAATCATCGTCTCATTTTCTAGGTAGACTTATTAAGCAGGAAATACGGTAGCTGTTTTGTTGTTTAAAGGAAATAAGCAAAACACATCATGAAATTATATTCATCAAACCAGAGATCAACCTTCAAGTGGCGTGTGACCGTTTCTATTAAGCAATTGCTGAAAACCTAAAACGTCAATATGTAAGAAATACAGCACATTATTGGCTTTGCTTATATTTCAATGTCATGTTGTAGTTGATCATTTTAATCCATGACAAAATCTGGGGTAAATTATTACAATTACAAAAAGTTGGGCAATCTCTCACCGCTACAATATGATTCTGACTGTCAGTGATTGCTCTTATGTATATGTGTGTTATTCACAGAAGTCCGCGACAAAATAATTAAATCTAAATAAACCTGGAAATATACCATTTATAACATTTTCTGACTCCAATGTTACCCAAACCATCCTTTGCCCAGACTTGAAAACGGTATGTTCCACCAGATTAATTATTTGTTATTAAACTATAGAAGATTCATTGACTAGTGTAACCTAGTGGCCGCTTGTACTTTTTGCAGGCAGAAAGAAAAACATGATTAGAGAAAAAAACATGCAATTTTCCTTATTGCTTGCATTATTTGCAAACAGATCCACAACAGCAAAAGTATATAAACGATACATAGTTGCAGTCTAGACCCACCAAAATTTTGTGTGACTTGGTCAAAGTTATTCGTTGAATATTTCAATTCTTCATACCAAGTTTTTGTTTAGTTTCCATTGAACATGAGTATGATTGTTGAGTTGAAATGTGAAATTTAAATTGCTATACAGTGCCCGATATTGGACATTGAAAGATATTATTCCAGAACAGGATTTGGCATAGAAAAAACCTGAATTTGTGTAAAAGTTTGCATTTCAATCAAAAGAATTTCTTTTCATTCTTAGAAACCGATGGTGGTTTAGTACTTCATTATAATTACAAGATTTTTTACCTAAAACTGTGAATTTGAAGCTGATGTTGCCCATAATACAGCGCTCCAGAAGGATGTGTAACAAAATGGAGAAAACTAATTTTGTTCACCAATTTTGCACAAGTTATGTAAAGAGACTGAAACCTAGGGACAAGGGTTATATTCACTTGCCTAACACAGACAGTCCCTGAACTCATAATAGAACTAAAATAAGGAAAATTGGAATCAAATTATGGCCAACTCTAACATGGTACATATACTACGAGAGGACCTATAATGCTGCCCGATTATATCAATACGACTGACTTACTATGCTGGGTTAGCTTTGCATCTTGCTCAGTTACTTCTTTATCTGATTGTTCTGCTTCTTTTTCAGTCATCAGGAGTTCACTTCTAAAACAAAATACCAGTGTGAAATTATTCTTTCTTTTTTGTCATCAATTTATTTATATAAAGTTGGTTTTGCTATTTATTAATTTCAATAATTTTTTTTATTAAATCAAATTCAAATAATTATGCTCTGCTGGTATAATTTCGTTGAAGCTTTTGACAATTATATACAGAGCAAAAACTAAGACTGAAATTATGGAGAATATTGAATACCAATGGATAATAGGAACCAACACAGAATCTCTACTAGAAAGTGACCAAAATAAATTTGTTTATTGGGGCATTTGGATTGGATAATTAATATTTCATATAAGATTTTAATAAATCATATCTGCAGACAAAACACTGAAATAAACGTTTGGGCATACGTTTTCGAAAGGGATACGAGCCAAATGGGACTCATTTCAAAGTCCATGAGAAGCTGATCATCGCAAATTGCTCTGTTCAGTCAATAGAGTAGAACTATTTTTACAGCATTTTGTCAATACGCTATCACATGCGTCAAATAAAATAAAATTGATTTTGTGTGATTAGCAAGGTGGAGTATAGTGGTTTATTTACATTGTCATGGTCAAGTACATTTCGAAGCAGACGTTTCGGCCCACACAGATCCGAGTGCCGATATAAGTTTATTAACAGTTTACAAAGCGATAAAGACTCAAACACGGGAATAAAAAATTTCGTCAATTCATTATTCGGATGGAGTATTTTTCTATTGTATTTAAAGGAATTCAAGGCGAAATTGAAATTTCCAACCAAAAAAAACAACATGATCTGCCGCAAAAATGGATTTTGAATGAAACGTTTGGGGGACGAAAACAGAGACATACAAAACGAATGTATAGATTAAAAATTATAGGGAATTATCTGGTGCCCGATGCATATAGGTCTTATATTAAATTTACATTTTGAAAAATCAGAGATCACAGTTGTTTTGTTTGTGATGAAATTTTAAGTTTGACTCCAGTTCCTTTAATTAAATACAAATATTCAGACAAATGTTAAAATAACAAAATATTCAATCAGGTTGTTGCATTGTTGATAAATGCATTTCGCACTTGCACTCACGCAGGCTTAAATGTCTGAGCCAAATCATCGTTGTGCAGAAATATCTCTAAGCCGTACAAATACCGTACATCAGTTCATACACTACACAGCCATGTCAAAGCAGGCCACTGCTGTGTGTGTGCTAATCATGGAAAATAATCTTTCTGATTCAACATTGCTACTGCCCAATACATTACAGGTATGCAGGTGGTGGGCATGGGATTCAATCCCCTAATGCTTTAATCAGTAGGCCATTATGCCTTGCCCACTCATAAATTACAAATGTAAGTCATGTTTGAAAGTCACACTACTGTTTTATCTAACCTTGGGCTTTTAGCTTCTTTGGAAATCTCCACATTTTCTTCAGTACTCTCTGAATTGCTGAGTCGTGATGTGGCCCCTTAGAAACGAAAATATATAACAACTGAAAAGCAATTATTTAGAACACTAATAACTGTTTTAAGTTAATTAATATTGTCAAACAAATAGTAAATGAATAACCTGAAAACAATTATATTTACATACTTCAATATTTTTCAAGCAAATATTTTCAGATACTCTAGATTTAGTACAATTTTTGATATCCCAGCAAAGTAAAAATCATTTTTTTAATAAATAGTTATTTTAATAAACTACAATACAATTGAAATACAAAAACTGGTAAAAAAATCTTATGGTTCAATGTGCTGCAAGATGTGCCAACTCCAGCAGCTAAACAGCAAATTTTAGAAACCATAAATTCCAGTCATTTTTGAGATTGAAAATGAGAATAAAAATAATAAATAAGAATTATATGAGGAATTAGACAGAACTAATGCAACATTGATTGTTACTCATTTATCACTGTATAATTCTATTTGAAAAATATCTAAGATTTACCAAATTCTGATTCTGAAGACAAAGTTGGATTTTTTTTGAGAGTTACATTAGTTGCTTTATCTGCAGGTTTTCTTTGACTTTCGAGTGTTTTTCTTCCACCCAGCTTAATCTTTAGTTTCTGTAATGAGTAAACTGCTTTATATGTATTTATCACCAAATGGTCATGATAATAAATGGCCGGAATGGTATCTATTAATTACCATGTTAGTAGTCAATGATATGTTAACATTGAAACCACAAATACTTGCTAAATAATACATATGCCTAATCTAAAAAGTTTTCAATTAATTGAAAAACTTTCCAAACTTGCGTACATAATGCCATCTTTGACAACTCACTAAACTGACAGTCCACACTTGATTGATCGCATTCCATAAAAATAATTATTGTGAAATACTAGCAAATCCAATTCACTCCATAATTTTAGATCTTTGCTTGGCGAAACAGAAACACGAATAAATCTTGGTGATAACTTAACCCTTTTTTTCCGCTGTATACAATCGACTTTATGTACCATTTTATAATATGTAATGACGAGTTAACCAAACGTACAAGGAACACCCCCAATATCTCTTTAAAAAGCTTATTTTCGCGTCTTCCTACATAAAAGCGCCCAAATGACATAGGCGAAACCGTTCGACCCTACGCGTGTAAGAAAAGAGAAATTTCAAAAAATTTTGAGAGAACGTTTCACACTCTTATCGCTTCGATGAACACGTGTTACAAAAAAAAGAAATTCCAAGCGCTCTTCTGAAAGAGAGTTACGTCACCTTTGCAGAAAAACCAGACTCAGCTTCGCAAGCGAAGCGAAACGCGAAATAATCAATGATATGTGAGAGCATGTCCACGATAGTTGTCTGGAATCTTTGTTTGTTTATTATGTGCGCGAAATTGTTTCCCGCTCGTTCAAATGACTTAATTTTGAAGTAATGACAAATACTTTCGTGTATCTCTAAGCTTTGAAATACCTACACAAATAAAATTCACTTAGTAGTAAAATAAAAAATTTACAAAAAAACAAAATGTTGACAGATCAAGCACGGTTCATAGTTGGATGCTCAAAATGATTTAGTTAGTGCGGAATACTTCACAAAACATGAACATAAACGATAAAAAGGTCCGAAAATAACTATTATGACCAAGGATGGTAGTATGAATATATATGTCATACGGAACAAAAGAGTTTTAATTTGATATGCTAAAATTTTTGTAATTAAAAATAAACATACAATTTGGGGATTAAAAAATTCACATTGCTTTATATTGTTCTATTTATTGGAAAATAAATAAACCTTATTGGGTGCTCCTGAAGTATTCGTACCAAGATTCAGCACAACCTGAAAATATTATGTGTACCAGGTCAGGGTTGTTCAGGTTGTGCGTCATCTTGGTACAAGTACTTCCGAAGCGCCCCTTATTGTAATAAGTGAATATTAAACATAATGCGCATCACAATCAAATTGACCATGATAATATTTTGTTATTACCTTAACAATTTAATCTTTGTTTGTTATATTATTTTATTTGACCTATGTTCTATATTTTGTTTTCAAACCTCAGATCCAATTTCATCCAATTGATTCTGTAATATTTTTTCATCTTCATCCGCAATGTTCCATCCAACCAACCACAAGCTCTCTGTAACGCTAGGAAGCAGATTTGCAATTGCAACAATATCGTCATGGTTTGCAATACGCTCACGCTCTTCACTCAGATCCAAATCTTCAATCTGTTGAAATAAACAGATAGAATCATCTGACAGAGAGAATCGAGCTTGAATAAAAAAAAACATACATTATTTATATTTACCTAATATTGATCAATATTCATGTAATATTAAAATAGAGCGTGTTGTCAGGGAGTTCAAAATCTGTTGGGAGTTCAAATTCTGTTCAAAAAATTAAAGGTGAATTTTCAAAATAATTTTTGTTTATAGAAATTGAATGGAGGCAATTTACTTAGATAAAGACCATACCTTTATTCTATCTTGAAAAATTTGTAAACCTTAAAGTACTACTGATGTACTACTGATAAGGTCAAGAAAGTCATCAACTCAAATTAGTGTTTTGACCATTTGAATGATTTCGGTTTGAAACCCTGTTGCTTTCAACCACTTAGTGTGTGACAAATGTTTTAGCCAAAGCTGAACCATAAATATTTAGATCATTCTAAAATAAAGTAGTATCTCACTAAATTGCAGTTGACATTTGCTTGGAGCCTTGTTCAAACTAAAGACATGAAAACACATCTTGAAGACTTTGATATATAAAACTGCATTGAGTTTTCATGTAATACGTAGTCATTAAATCTTCACCAAGTTATGTTCCAAATATATCAAGTATGTTTGTGCCACAGTCCAAAGACTTCGAGTTTAAATCATATGTCCTCGTAAATAAATGAGTGTGTAATAAATTCGGTAGAAAATTCCAAACTGGAAAATTCTGATATAATCTAATATATAATTTCTACAGTAATTCGCTTAAAAATTTACTAAAATACTAATATTAATAAGAATTTGCTCAAATACTATAGTCAACTACTATATTTACTTTTGCACTTATTGTAATGTTAAATGACAAGAGTAGAATATTTTTAGTTTATAATGACAAGCGCAGGTTTGACTGATTCTTTCAGCTGTTTTATAGGACAAATACAGAATTTTCAAAAAAATAGAACATTTTTAAATCTAAATTGTATTCAGAATTTGTTAATTCAATCATTGGTTGTGCAAGATATTGTCTTTATTGTAACTAACTGTTAAATATATTAATTGTGGTAACTGTTAAATATATTAAATAATTATTTTCTTAAATATATTAATTAATTATTAATTCAGTTAACCCATTAATTTCAGAAAGCTTTGTTTAAAATATTTTTAAATAAACTTGCAAACTCAGTAAGTAACAGAATACTACAGCAACCGCCAGATTTACCATTATGCAAGGTAGGCTAAACCCAGGCCTCAAGCCAAACCTCGGCAAATAAATTTGAACAAAAATTCATCAAATCAAAGTTCTACCCCTTCAATTTTGCATATATAGCAGGGGCCACCAACCTTTATAAAGCAGCGGGCTACTTTCTGGGTACCGACTAAGCTAAGAGCGCTCTTCTGAAGAGCCAATTTGATATTAATGGTATTTAGCCAAGATGATACTGATAATGTTAATTATTCATGAAACTATCAAAAGTAGTTGTGCTATCAAATGTTATATTTTACCAACACATCTAACAAATCGTGAATATCATATTTCCAACGAAGACCAAATCTGGTGTATTCCTCCTCAGTATGTGGGAAACCTGGTATTGCATGTTCTCCACCCTTGTGTTGTATCTAGTTTGCAACTTGACACCGAAACTCTGAGTGAGTCTTGTTCATACACCACGACACTTTCTGTGTCAACTCAAGCCCTAAAGTGTGACAGGTCCCTGATTGGCTATGAGGTGGAGGTCATTTGGCAGTGTTACAATTTTAAGCTCCATCTGTCCCACATCAAGGCTGAACGTTGCTCAACAATTCTTGACATGTCCAAGTTCCATTAAAAAAGGTTAGAAATGAACGACACGCATGGCTCCAGCTGACCTACTGTGTGTGATGTCATAATTGGAATGACATGTGACATTGCCGATGTCACCTATAGAAGAGGCTGACCGTTCCAACAATTAATATATTGTCATTTCCATTTTTCACATAAAGTTTAAACAAGAATAGCAAGAATAAAATTAATAGATGTAGCTTACTGATAAGCGCCGCTGTTTCAGTTATTTTAAAACAGACCAGCAGGCGACTCATATGGTCCCGCGGGCAACAGGTTGGTGACCCCTGATATATAGTATACCGTACTAATGTAAATTAATGAAATAGTTATTACTCAATAATGCTACTTTTTTATTATAAAAAAAGATTATGATTTGATATACATATAGCTAATTTAAATTACGGTATCTAAAAATGACTATATTAATACTAAGCTTTTTTATTGTAGATCCAAATATTTCAAAAGTGCAATGATAATTTTGTTAATGTTTTATATCATCCATTGAGCCATTCCCCTTAGCACACATATAATTCTCATGAATAAAAACCGGTTTTCTGGTGCAATAAGGGTTTTATCACAGCCTAAGTTTGGCTCATGATGACATCACAGTGGATTGTAAGGAACTTTTATGACTTCATATTTTAAAAGTCACTTCACAAATGGCATAGCCTAGGGCTGGCTCTCATGGTCTAAATCTAAATCCTGCCCTGACTACAGCTAGCATAAATGTATAAAATACAATAACAGTAAACCCAATTATTACAATATTTTTAAGATTAATCCTTTTCCACAAAAACAATATTGTTAACCTAATTATGCCCCGGTAGTTAGATGTTCCTTCCCTTTTTACCAAAATTGCCTAATCAGGGAAACAATGAATTTATCTGCCCTAAAATATATTGTTTTGATCCGAATTTTTTCTATTTTTCGAATTCGACAAATTTGAGATGTGCTTGTAACATTGACTCCGTTCAATCGCAATGCTGCCACTCCGATTATTTTTAAAGATAAAAGCTTTCGAAAAATCTGTAAATCTGCTGTAAATTCTCATGGAGTAAAATTTATTTCAGTAGAATAAAAATTGATGGATATACTTCAGATTAATCATCTAATATATCATCACTAACAGGGGAAAAAAATCACGTTTTCAACCTTGTTCAATGATAACACTAGAAATTTCGACGACAATTTTAAAGTAATGGATTCCACCCACAATTAACCGTGTTTCAATTTTAATGGCGGTATGTTCCTAAACAACGAGGAAACATAATGTGTGCCGTGGGCACACGAAATTTTGCGATTTTCAAAAGCGTTTTTAGACTAGAAAAGTGTTTTTAGACTGTCGCGGGACTCAACAAATCTTATAGCCTATTGTTTACAGTTTTGTTTTCAGTATTTTATATTGTCGATTTTCAGTCAAATTTAGATCGCTGGTTTACTCCTTCATTTGTCTTTAGAACCTCGCCGCCGATGAACGTATAATAACTCTCACCGAATTCACAATTCCTTGCAAAGTACAAAAATAAAATAATCGTCATGTTTATCGTGGCACAAATTTGTGATTTAGAGAAAATAAATACCGATGTGAAGGCGTTTACGGCCTAAATAACACACTGATGAAAACAATCAGCGATTTAAGCAGAAGGCAATTGCACGTTTTTTCAGTTTTCACAATTCCGTGCGAGTACAAAAATAAAATAACTATAATTGTTCCCGTGGCACAAATTTGTGATTTAGAGAGAATAAATACCAACGAGAAGGCGTTTAAGGCCTAGATAACACGCCGCCTTGATGAAAACATACGGCGATTTTAGCAGAAAGCAATTGCACGCGTTATCGGTGACTTTTTCTGTTTTCAAAAAAAATTCAAAAGGGGGGGGGTTCGACCCCGAAAACCCCCGCATGGCTGCGCCACTGCGCACCTGTGTTATTTTCCAACAATAATTTGAAAGCTTGTAATTGATCTGGTGACAGATTACATTCTTGAAGGTCCAACCATTTAACACAGGATTGATTGGAAAGTATTTGTCCGACTGATGATAAACCTTCAACTCTCATGTTTTCTATTTCTATTTATTGATTTTAGAAATAATATAAAGAAGTTATTTTCCAAAATTTTGATATTGAGATATTGAATCTCACAATCTGACCAAGAAGGCCTTTGTTTAATTCAAGGCTGTGCAACCTGCGACCTGCGAGACAAATGCGACACACAAGGAAAAATTGTGCGGCCAGCGGAAAAGTGCCATTCTGAAGGTTGTCTGGCCCACAAAACGAGTTTTAAATTTAGTTTCATCTAGTTGTGATAGTAATTCTAAACCCTTTGCCTTGCAAAGCCCATACCTGATTCCAGTTTAGTAAATATGCCCAATGCCGTAACAGCTAACTTGTGCGAAGCGAACAACGCATGTCATGAAATCAATATCCAAAATTTTTATGTCTGCAACTACTAGAAAGCCTATGTTAAATAAAGGTGCTGCCCACGGTTTCATCGAGTTGGTTGTATATGACCCTCCTGTATTGAAGGTTGCGCACCCCTGATTTAATTCAGGAAAATTGAAAAAAAAGATAAAAAATCATTTAATCTATTTTTTTTTACATTTGAAACGTATTCATTTGATACACAATGACTGACAGCTTATTGTTTGTTTGTTTTCTGAAAAATTCAATTTTTTTTATTTCCTTAATAATTGTCTTCATTATGAACATGACGGACCCCGTGTATCAGTGACTGGGTATGCAGAGCCTTGTTCAGAGAAATAGCAAATAGATCAAAACCTTCAGTTAACCAAGTAGAATTCCATGAAAGTCATTTAAAATACTTTTGAATAAACTTGCAAAGCTTTGTGTGGAATATTATTTCTGTGAAGCATTTTTTTATCACAGTGACTGCTTGAAAGAGCCTTGCTCAGAGAGAAAATTAATATTATTTCATTGAAATTCTATAATGCTTCATTTAAATATTACTCATACAAAGCTCTGATATCTCAAACTAAATTTAATAGAATTGGGGATTTTGGCATTGTATTACTCTAATTGTCAGTGAGTAATAGAATACTACAGCGGGGACCAGATTTAGAATTATGCGAAGTAGGCTAAGCCTAGAAGGCTCGAGCCAAACCTCAGCAATCAAATTTGAATTGTTAATAATTTTATTCAAAATAATTAAGATCGAAAAATGAATTGGTCAATATTTTAACCCTTTAATTTCGGAGACAATATATAGTGTACTAATTTAAATAAATAATTTCCACTTCATAATGCATTTTAAAAAAAATGTATTGATATAAAGCTAATGTAATTTATCTGAAAATTATTAAACTTTTACTATCTCATATTTTTTTATTGTAGACCCAAATTTTTCAAAATAATGCCAAATTTTTTTAATGTTTCTCAAACCATCTATTGGGCCATTCACCGTCCCACTACGATACTTCTAACGAATCGAAATCGGTTTTCTGTTGCAATGACGTTATATCACAGCTTTCTTACAGCATTTTCACAAGTTTCTTACAGCATTTTTAAAGTGAACCTGCTAACCCAGAGCTTCCCAAACTTTTTGGGCCACGAACCCCTGTTTGTGGATGTTATTTTTTACGGACCCCCATCCACTGCGTATTAATTTATATGCCTAACCAACGAGGAAGGATAATGTTTCACCTGGATTAGAAACACAACACATTAACACAAATGACATTAATGTGACAGATCAATTTGTTAAAAGAAAACTCGTAGGCCCGAATTTACGGCAACGGTTCTATACAGTTTTACATATTTTTTGACGAAATAAAACTCATGGAAGTCTGAATCCACGCATATTAACATTGAATATTGGTAGGCTAACGGCGATGCAATAAAATTATGATTTATATGCACCTCGATATCCGGATTGTCGGTACTAATTGAACAATTGAAAGGTTCCATTACATTTCAACCCACGTACATTTGAACCCACAACAATTGCACCTGCATACTATTGCACCTATGGAGTTTATTTTTGTTTTACGGATATTTGAACCCATACTAACCTTAACCCATGAGTTTTATCACCTGCATATACATTGAACCCGCGGATATGGGTTCAAATGTACGTGGGTTCAAATGTACGGTCACCCAATTGAAATGATGCACGCCTCTTTCTTGCGGAAATGGGGGTTAAATGACCTTGGCAAAGTCGCACAAGTTCTCGATTGGTGATAACTCAATAACGCATACAGTCAATTATAAACCATGACCATGTACCGACCGACCATGTAGCTCTGTGACGGATGTCTTCCTCACAGGCGCTAAAAGCAAGGATCATCTTTATCTCGTTTACGAATGTCTATGTAACACTGGATAGTGGATATATTTTGATTATATTTCAGACTCTTTGATATTGCTGCGGACCCCCTCTGTAGTCGTCGCGGACCCCAGTTTGGGAAACCCCGTGCTAATTCATCTACTTGGGTGATTAGAGCACTTTGTTGCGGCATCAAAAATGGGTGCTTCAGAAGTATGTGCACCAAGCTGTCGCACAACCTGAACCCCAACCTGTACACACATACTATGTTCAAGTTGTGCGCCATCTTGATGCACATACTTTTGGAGCTCCCAAAAATCTTGTATTCTAAACAATACAAAATTTAACGTATGACGGCACATACACTTCACATAGAATGGCTTATGATGGCATCACAGTGGATTTTAATAAACTTTTATGACTTCATAGTTTAAAAAACACCTCAAAAATGGCATAGCCTAGGTCTGGCTCTTATACAGCTAACATAAATGCACAAAATACAATTATGAAAAATATTATAATATTTCTAAGAGTATTCCATTTCCATAAAAACAATTTTGTTGTTGTTCGATTGGAAAGTAAAATGTCAATAATGCTTGAACCACATATCAAGTTATTTAAGGTTCCAACCTCTGTTCCATGACACATTACTCAGTGTGGGACAAACTTGATAGTCAATGCTGAACCAAAAAAGTTCAGGTAATTCTCAGATGGGTCATTTTTCAGAAAGTGACTCACCAAGTGTGTGAGCCCAGAACTGTTCAAAAATAATTTATCTAAAATTGATTAAAATCAACATTTTTAATTATTGAATTTAGTAAGAATTTTAATTAGTTTCATTCAAAAATTATTATATTAAGCAATTCTCACAATATGGCTAAAATGAATTTAATTAATTCATGAAAACTGTAAACAATAGAAAATCAATCAATTTTGTGGTTTATCACCAAAACATATTCATTTAGGTAATATACAATGACTACAATGTATTCTTTGCTGAACTTGGCCCCAATTTAGTTGTTGAATATTCAAAAGCATTATTTTTGAAATCGTGGAGTGGCTTTACTTGAGCAAAATAAATGCTGACAAGACAAGACAAGATTTTTACGCGGTGATTCTTCCCACACATGCAATTATTATTGAGAAACACTTCAATACCAATTATAAAATAATCGATAAAAATTACTAAGAAAAATGAATTAGTAAATATTAGGTATTTGCTGAAAAAAGCTTCACCCCAAGAAATTTTTTAGACGACCTAGCTTTGGTCATCTTGAAATAAGTTAGAAATCATTCATATTATTTAACTGTCTGTAATAGTTTACTCCACGATAAGCAACTAATAATATATCACAGGTATTGCTATATAATAGAGCTAAAGGAAAGTAAATATAAGTAGATCATTGTGTCACACCTCTGTGTTAATTCCCAACGATAATTTGAAAGCTTGTAATTGATCCGATGACAGGTTACATCTGCCAAGGAGCAAGCTTTCAACACAGGATTGATTGGAAAGTATTTGTCCAACTGATGATAAACCTTTAACTCCCATGTTCGTGTTTCCACTCAGCCACAAATCTTTGATCTGTAATGAGCAAGAACAATTTTAGATCATAACAATATTGTTGAAAAATAATCTCGTTGGGCAAAGTGGAAAAACTGGCGCTCCCGTAGTATGTGTACCAAGATGTTGCACAACCTGAACCCTAACCCGGTAGACATACTGTGTTCAGGTTGTGCGCCATCTTGGTGCACATACTTCTGGAGCTCCAAAAAATCTTTTGAAAAAAATGTCCACTTCTCAAAACCTTAAATCTTTGACAAAGAAATATAAAATAGTTCAAAGTTGAATTAGATTAGCAAAATCAGCAACAGTTTAGGCATTCATCGTTGATGAAACAGCACTGGGACCTGGGCTGTCACATTTTCACATATGTTGAGGACAGAACTGAATTTAAAATGATAGTTTTCAGTTTTTGAAATCCTAAGATATAGAATTGCTAAAATCAATAAGGTCATTAATAAAAATTAGTGTCATGACCATCCTGTTTAAATGTTGCAGAGTTTGAACTTCGGGGGCCACAATACTGAGCGTGAAATTAATTTTACTATTCAATTTACAAGATAAACCCACTGATTTTTTTAGTTTCATAGCTTTGTTGAGCATGAATTATTTGAACATAATGGGATTTAATATCTACCAATCGAAATAACGCTATAAATGCCACTGGGATGGTAACAGTCTCAGGAAAGGACCACATCCACAAGCAATAAATAATTGAGAACAACTGTTCTATATATAGTAGTATCTCACTAAATCAGAGTTGCCACTTGCCAGGAACCTTGTTCAATCTAGAGACCCGAAACACATCCTAAGGAATTTATTATATAAATTTAATCTGTCTGATGTTTCGCTTGATATGTATTCAATGAGTCTTCCCTAAATTATATTCAACACAAAACAATTTTATTTGAGCCATAGTCCGAACTATTATATAATATATATAGTAATTTGAGTTATATAGCTAAATTCTAATATATAGTAGTAGCTCACTAAATATCAGTTGCCGCTAACCTAGAGCCTTATAAAAAGTAAAGTTGTGGAAACACATCATGTAGGATTTAATATTAAAAATTAACCTGTATATTGTTTCATCATATTATGTTTAAGTTATATCAAACAGTAATAATTATAAAAGAAAAAATGCTATACACTATTTCGTATATTTTAGTATCAAATTATTGTGTTTATTTGAAGCATCTTTATGTCTCTCACAAAACAGAAAAACCAAATATCACTAAAAATTTGCTCAAATAGTTAGGTATTGTATTTACTTTTACACTTATTATAATGTTGAATGACCAGAGTGGGATTTTCCAGATAGAATGAGGAGAGTAGGTTTAAAGGATTCATGCAGCTGTTTTATAAGACAAATACAAAATTGTCAAAAACAAATAGAAAAATTTTCAAATCCTAACTATATTCAGGATTTGTTTCAAATTCAAACATCTTCGGTGCAAGATGTCTCTATTGTATTTAACTGTTAGGTATACTAATTGATAACCAATATTTATAATTTTTTGACTTGAAAAAAATTTGCTCACTTTCAATCCAGATGAATTGCAATATTTAGTTTCATTAATATTTTTCCATTTCCAACAGTTTTTCCATTAAAATTTTATAAAGCTTCATTTAAATATTACTCATCCAACGTTCTAATATCTCAAACAAAAGTTAAAAAGATTTTAGCTTTGTTTTACTTTTATTGCCATTGACTAACAGTATACTACCACAACAGTCATTTGCCATTATGCAAAGTGGGCTAAATCCCAGGGACCTCGGGCCAAACCTTGACATTTAAATTTGAACTATTAATCAGTTTTATTCAAATCAAAATTCTACCCTTCATTTTGACGACAATATATAGAAAACTAATTAAAAATAATTTTTACTCAATAATACTTTCATTTATTGCATAAGAAAAGTATCGATATATAGATAAACTAATTTTTCTAAAAATTAATATATTTTTACTGTCTCGGAACTTTTTTACTGTAAACCAAACATTTCAAAACATGCAGCGATAATTTTTTCAATGTTCTTTCAAATCATCAATTAGGCCATTCCTAGTCACACATATATAATTCTCACGGTTGTAAACAGGTTTTCTGGTGCAATATCACAGCCCAAGTTTCATATAACATTTTTAAAATAAACCTGCTATCCCATATACTTAAGAAATTAGAGCATGTCTCTTGCCTGCAACTAAAATGTCATATTCCGCACAATTCAAAAGTTTCTGTATGACGTAATGCACATTACACATAAAATGGCATATGATGACATCACAATGGATTACATGACACCTTTATGATATCATAGTTAAAAAAGACCTCATATATAGCATAGCTTAGGGCTGGCTCTCATTGTCTAAACTCGTCCTGACTACAACAAGCATTGATGTATAAAAATCAATAAGAAAAACTCAATATTTCGGAGATTGAAATAAAAGGAATAAAAAAAAATGTTTAGATCATTCTCAGATGAGTCATTTTTCAAAAAATTTTCAACTAATCGACTCACCAAGTGTTTGAGCCTAGCACTGTTCACTCTAAGGCAGTGGTTCTTAAACTTTTTAAACCGCGCCCCCTTTTGAAAAATTTAACAAACTTCTCGCCCCCACCTTTTTGCTTTGAAAAATGCTTTTGTGATGGCAGGTTGCTTTATATTAAGATGGAGCTGTAAGAGTGTTGGTCTCATAGCGTCATTGCTCAGATTGTTTAGGCATAAATTGCATTCGAGTACTACTTCGTCATTTACTGTCGTATGTATAAAACCATACTCGAATACTGGTCATCATACATTTTCCTTTTTCCACTCGGCAATACCTGGTCAAACTAAGTTTTAAGTGAAACTAAACCCGTAATAAACGTATGCTTTTTGCGCTTCAATGTACTTTCTGCCTAAACGTGAGACACTTAAAGCTTCAATCAATTGTTTACTTCATCACTATTGATTACTAAATTATTTACTGTGTGTTAAAAATACACAACAATTACAGACTCCTTGGTTTGCCTAACGTCTCCAAAATTCACTACCAATAGCTTTGGACAACCACCAGGTCAAAAATACAGTTTATAAAATGGAGAAGTGCAAATGAAATCATGCACATTTTCAGCATAAAAAAGCCATTTATTTTTTGATAGTAATTATGCATGTGGACTTTTCCCCGGCCCTTGACTGCTGAAAAATGGCTGAAGTCGCTAATGATGTTTACGATTGCATTTTGTTTGAACCTCGGATTGTATTCGCCAGCGTGATATCTAATTTAGACTGGAAAAATCTTTATTTTGCTGTTTATTTTCCCTGAATAAAGAATCCCATAAACTCTTTGTGCCTGTGGCACACCTGTAGTCTTCTAAACCTACAGACTTAAAATAAATTTTTTTCTGTAGGAGGCAGACTTATGAATTACTCAAAAGGTGATATTTTAAAATTAATTGAGAGTAAGAGTTACAGGGACAGCTAATATTGGTCTAATTCGCAAGAATACGAATCAAAACAAAATGTAATCGGGCATTTGCCACACCCTTTTATGTCCAATACCATTTTAAATATGTATATCGATCATGGATATAATATTTTATCCAACAGAAAAACCCTCGCATATATGTTGAAAGAGGCGGCTCTTTTAAGCAGTGGCGAAATCTCGACGACTGACTTAGGAGCCGCACCGAGGAGATTATTGGGCGATGAATATGTATTTTTGATTTGCTAATATACTTTATATGTATTTTAATTGTACTTAATTAAATATACTTTCTTGGATTTTATGCCAGATCTTTCTACGACAATAACGAATTCGCACAAGCGCAATATATATCAAAACTAAATATAGTCGGGTAGTTTACCTCGCATTATTATATCCGTTGATTGGCATTTGGCATGGTATTTTAGATCGGTGATGAGTTTATTTTGTCATGAGTCGCCGCACCGAGAGTTACCTTGAACCCAAAGGAAGTAAAATTGAGACACATTTTGAATTATTGTAGTTGCCACAGATTGAATATTATGGGACAGAAAAAAGAGAGAGACAGAGACGAGTAATCTATACTCGAAAAGGCATTGTGCTTGTTAGAAAGTGTCAGGGTTCAGGGCTGTGCCAGGGTGTTCATGGTTGAAACCCCTCTTTTAAAATTTTTGCAAGAATGAATAAGCCGTGAACATCTTTATTTTGGACTTCATTTATCTTTATATCACAAATTTTTTTCGGTATAAGTCTTGGGCCACGAGGACAACCATAATTAGGTACTTTCTTTGCTTCTCACACACTGAGTTATTATTATTATATTCTAATCATCAGCGACGAGATGATAATACAAACGGAGGCGTAAATCCGCAACCCAAATTTTCTAGATTGAAAAGCGGCAATATAAAATACTAAAAATAAAACGGAGATATTGACATATTTTGTTTCAGGATTGTCACTGTATTTCAGGATTTTTATGTGGGCGGATTGCCACTGTATTTTTTGAGGAGATATGCTTTTATTTTGTCAACACAGTCCCAGATTAAAATAATAACAATTATATTAACAGAGCAACCATTTCTTGAAATATCCGTATTGTTTACGAGTTCAATATTCAATGCAACAGAAAAATCATTACATATCTACTGAAAAGTCGGCTCATTTAATGAGTGACGTAATGCAGACGATTACTTCAGAAGTACCGCTAGGATGTCGAGGAGTTGAATATGTCTTTTTGATATACCAATGTATTCTTAATGTACTAAATCAAAATATACTTTCTGGGAGTCATAGAAGATCTTGGGATTTTTCTAACGGCAATATTACAATCTATCCTAATCAGTAGTGGGAAAAATAATTTATTTATAGACGGAAAAATTGAAAACGAGAAACAATGGAAACCGATTTTAAGGCTTAGGTCTCTGATTCTAGAGTCTAGATCTAGATCAGGAGTGACAAATTCATTTGCTCTCGCGGGCCATATTATCAGTCATCGCTGAGTAAGCGGGCAGCAGAACTTTTTAGTCATACTGTGATACCTTTTAATTTTCATCAACAAAAACGAACAACTGCATCCATACAGCTGAAGTTATTTGATGATATATTGCAGCATAAAATAAAAATAGAATACCCAACGCATGTTTTTCTTAGTGAGATTTTTGGAAACTTTTTTGATTTACTATAGGCTTCATATTAGGACGAATTGACGAATTTTAAAACTCTCAACCACATACATTCGTCATATCACTCGGCCTCGAGATCCGCTCGGTTCGGGTGTTCGGGATCCGAATTTCCAATCGAATAGCGCAGCATTTTTGACTCTTGAATGTTTTGATCGACTACCGAGGTATCACTGTACAAGCAATTTATATGGTACTAAAATAAATTGTAGTCTTTGTTATTTTATTGCTATCTAAGGATTTTCCTACGTTGATTTCTTGAAATAAAACTTGGGTGGTATTGCTAGAACCTATTGAATTTGCATAATTAGTAACATCGCAAAAATACGAATCAAAACTAACTATAATTGGGCAGTTGAAAACGCATGTTATGGCCGTAGATCGCCGTGATATTTCGAAGTAGGGTTGTCATTTTGTCGACGCAACCGCAGATTACATTAGGCACACAATTAAATTATAAATAGACTCGGATTAGTCGTCAATTGCATACTTTGTGCAATTGCAAAATCATTACCCGACACAATAACATAACAAAAATAAAACATTATTCGTTGAAAAAGTGGGTTTTTTTCACAAGGGCCTGCCTAATTGCACGGATAGTTCCATGGAAATTTCGGGATTTCATCCGCTTCCACCCCCACCTTTTGGTAATTCTGACGGCCCCTCTGAACGTATTTCAAGTCTTACCTAACCTTCCTCTATGACATTTTGTGTCGGGTTAATATGTTGATAAATTCTTGTTAATAACACTTCAGATAAGTATTTGGAGATCTTTTGTACAAAGCCGCCGCCATAAAAAACACCACCGCCTCCGCACAATATTACAAATAATTAGAAATAATCTAGTTACGATTTTAAGAGAGTTCAGAACGTGGTGTTTTTCTCAAATTCACATTTTTGCATTACTGGCGAGGGCTTTGTACAAAAGATCAGTATTTCGCTAAACTCTGGATACAGAAATTATAAAAGAATCCATCCTGTGGCGATTAACAACCGATTTTTGAAATGTAGACATTTTTTCAATATATTCTATTGTTTTAATCATCGAGCTGAAGTTATAAACTTTTTCTTACTTGCAAATATCCTGTGTATTGTGCGCCGAAACATTACATTTTCACATAGTAAGGTTACTCCTCATCCATTAATCCCTATGCAATTGCCGATAAGACTGCGTAACTAGGCCAAGACGAAGATTATTTTGATCCATTGTTAAAGTTATCGATGATCCAGCAAAACAAGATGTATTGGAAATAGCGTTGCCAGTGAAATACAGGCGCTCCCGTTTTATCTGTGCAGTCCCTAAAGGTTTATGACTTCACATACACTGAATCGCCTGAAAGGTTCGCGGGCCGCATGAAATTCCTTGGCGGGCCGCCGGTTCGTCACCTCTGATTTATACCAATCCTAGAATCAAACTAAGGTTTGAGGTAGGTACCACCATGAGATCTTATCTGTTGACAGCGCCCATTTTAAGTTGACTATAAGTCTGTGGTTCCCCTATTTTTATTAAATTCACCCCTCTAAACTCCTCTCTATGAATAAAACCTCTTTATTTATTCAATTTTAATGGACCGCTTGGACCCTGCTGATATTTCTGTTTTGGTACAGTTTAATATGAAAAACTAAATATTTTTGCAACACAATATGTACTCAACTCGGAGTAAAATTCCTCCCTTGAAACGGCAAAATTCTTCCCTTTTTTGGAATCATTGGTGTCGAGTTTTATCACATCCATCACATGTGTTGGATTATTATTTGACGAGAAACTTTCCGGGCGCAGAAAGTTTTTTTTAAAGCCATGCCAGCTTCAAAATTTCGTCTGGGAATGTTCATTTTTAAAAATTTTAAGTGTTGCGTATAAGTTTCGCAACTGTAAGGGCTCTCGTGTTCATCTTCTAATGTCAATTGATTTGCCAATCTGGAAATTTAAAGTCTACAGAAGGCAAACTTCTGAAATGAGTAACATGAAAGTAGGAGTTATGCATTTCCGTTACCGTATTTTCTGGGACTGCCTAGACCGATTTTTACTCTCTGTATTTCCTCATCGAAAGCTAATTTCCCCAAATAATCCAACCCCAGTAAATCAGGTAAAAAAATTGGATCTTGAAAATCAGCCTGATAGGCAGAAATATGGTACTCAAAAAATAGTAGTGATAGTGTACTCAAAGACAGTTATATGAAATTTAATTTTTGGGATAATGGGATAATAAAATAATTGATAGTATTTGAACTGATTCAAGCTACACGTTAAAGTTTTATATCCTTCTATTTGTAGGGTCTACTAATTTAAATTCAGCATATACCTTGAGGGTGCTGGCGGCATGTTAGAAAATATCCAAACGGGGTCGCGAGGCAAAAAAGGTTGGGAACCACAGCTCTAGTAAATACACAAAGATGGGAAAGTGGACCTGACAAACTTTTGCTTTCGATCCATATGTTTTCAGTAAAATATTGTTGCACTAGTAAATCACGCATATCGGTCACATGACCAATCTTGTAAATAGAAACGCCTTGCAACATTTGACCAACGCCGGCGAGCGTTTGTGCGGAAGAAGCAGAATCGGAATGATTGTATAGCTTTATCTCATATGTCTACACCAAACAACTTATAATGTCCGCTTATGTCAGGGGTCTCCAACTCAAAACATGTCGTGGGCCACTTTTTAAAATTTATAGACCACGCGGGCCGCAAACCAAGAAATTAGGTACAAAATGGGTATATGAATCTGAATGTATTGTGTTGAAATTACATTTTAATCTTACAGCAAACGAGACATGAAACATATTCCTTCACTTGTGCTGGATATTTGGTCTCGATGTTTGGCCTTATTTTGCGTTGGTGTGCTAGTCTTAAGACAACATGCAAATGATTGTCCGTTAGTCGTGTGCGGAAGGCTGACTTGCTAGCTTGCATAGTCGAAAAAACTGCTAGCCAATATAAGAACTGCCAAAAATTGCAGGTATGCAAAGTGAATGTGCAATTAACATTGCAAACTCTTCTTCGGGCACAATGGACTGAACGAAACTTGTTTATTTCGTCACAATGAATATGCGAAATGAAATTATCGCATTTATAATTGCATTATACCAATATAATAAAACATGAACGTGGACAACAGGGGGGAATTTTGCTTCATATTTTACAGTTTGTCGGACACGATAAAACCTACTAATAGATGACATCGTACTATTTTAGTTTTGGTGGAAAAATCCCAACCATGACGCGGGCCGTAAAAAATTGACTGGCGTGCCGCATGAGGCCCGCGGGCCGCGTGTTGGAGACCCCTGGCTTATGTAATGCAAAATTGTGTTATAAAATTACTCGCACACAGCTTATTTGTTAACTGTATACTCGCACGCAAATTATTTGTCAACTTCAAAATTTTTTTTTTCAAAAACTAAAATAACATGCAATTTTGCAGTCTCTAAAAAAAACTAAAAAGGTGCCTCACTCGTTTTACAAAAAAAATGCACTAATAGTGAACAGTGGAGCCCAGGTATGTTCAAACCTAATTGAATTTAAAATTGATTACAATCAACAATTCAAGTTATTGATATTAAAAATAATTTAAAACAATTTATTCAAAAATTTGGGCAATTAGGCGAATCTCCCAATATGACCAAAAGACGATTGATTACAATAAACAATTCAAGTTATTTATATTAGTAATAATTCAGAATAGTTTTTTTAAAAATTAGGCGATTAGGCGTGAGTAACAGAATACTACAGCGAGGGTCAGACTTGCCATTATGTAAAGTTGGTTAAAGCCTAGGGGCCTCAAGACAAACCTCGGCATATATATTTTCAACTACAATATTATTCATTTTCATTCAAATCAGAATTAAACCCCTTCAATTCTCAAGACAATTTATAGTATACCGTACTAATTTAAATTAATTAAAAAGTTATTACTCATTAATGCTTTTTCTAATAAGAAAAAAATATTGATATACATATAGCTAATTTAATTTATCTAAAAATGATTACCGGTATATTATTACTAAGCTTTTTTATTGTAGACCCAAATATTTCAAAAAATGCAATGATAATTTTGTTAATGGACTAAATCAGCAATTGGGCCATTCCCAGTCACACACATATACTCCTCCTGAGTAATTTAAACCGTAAACCGTACTAATTTAAATTAATCAAAAAGTTATTTACTCAATAATGCTTTTTCTAATAAGAAAAAAATATTGATATACATATAGCTAATTTAATTTATCTAAAAATGATTATATTAATACTAAGCTTTATTATTGTAGATCCAAATATTTCAAAAATGCAATGATAATTTTGTTAATGGACTAAATCAGCAATTGGGCCATTCCTAGTCACACACATATACTTCTCCCGAGTAGAAAACGGTTTTCTGGTGCAATAACGTTTTATCACAGCCTAAGTTTGGTTATGATGACATCACAGTGGATTGTAAGAAACCTTTATGACTTCATAGTTTAAAAGGCTCCTCACAAATGGCATAGCCTAGGGCTGGCTTTCATGGTCGAAATCCCGCCCTGACTACAGCTAGCGTAAATGTATAAAATGTATTAACAGAAAATTCGATTATACAATATTTCTAAGATTAATCCTTTTCCACAAAAACAATTTTGTTAAACTAATTATGCCCGGTAGTTATATGTTTTTTCCCCTCTTACCAAAATTGCTAAATCAGGGAAACATTGGAATTTATCTCCAGATGAAGTTAAGAATCCTTCATTTCATTCAACTTTTCATGATAGTTTACTCAACAAAATACAAGTAACAATACCTTACAGATATTTCTATATGACAAAACTCAAAGAAAAGCTACTATAAGTAAATCAATGTGCCACACCTCTGTGTTATTTCCCAACGATGATCTGAAGGCTTGTAGTTGATCTGATGACAGGTTACATCTGCCAAAGTCCAAACTGTCAACACAGGATTGATTGGAAAGTATTTGTCCAACTGATGATAAACCTTCAACTCCCATGTTTGTGTTGCCTCCCAGCCGCAACCGTGTGATCTAAGAAAACAAGAAAGATTTAGAATCATAATTAGTCTGATCTAAATCTTGTTGGGTAGATTAAAAAAAGAAAAAGTCACTGAACATGTGTTAAAATATTGAAATACCGAAGCATAGACAAAAAAGAATAAAATATTTTTAGGCTTAAACCAAATTCGCAACAGATCATGCATTGGCATCAGAGGTAGAAACAGCACTGTAACATGGACAGATATTTTTTCACCTATATTTTAGTCGGAGATGAGTTTAACATGATAGTTCTATTTTGGAAATCCCAACCAAAAGATGTAAAATAACCGGAGTCAAGAACTAAATTACTTAAAATGTCATTAATTCTTGAACCACAGTTCAAATATTTCAAGGTTCCAACTTCCGGTCTACGATGCATTACACAGCGTCCGACAAATTTTATAGTCATTAAAATATTCAGGTCATTCTCAGATGGGTCCGTAAATCCGATCCGAAATCCGGGTCATGTTTGAGAAACTTTTTTCAATTAATTGACTCGCCAAGTGTGTAAGCCCATGAATGTTCAAAACTACCGTAATTGATCTAAAATTGATTACAATCTACAATCTAATCTATTTCTAATTATTGATTTTAGTCATAATTTAGGATAGTTCCATCAAAAACTATTACCGTACATTAAGTAAATCTCGCAATATGGCTAAAAACGCCAATTAATTTATGGAAAATGGGAAAATGTGAAAAATAGAAAATTTATACTTGAACGCAAATTATTTTTCCACTTGAAAAAATTTTCCTTCAAAAACAAAAAAAATGTGATTTCATAGTCTCTAAAATAACTGCGATGGTGCCTCGCACGTTTCGCAAAAAAGTGCGCTGATTGCAAACACTGGAGCCCAGAAATGTTCAGAACTAATTAAATATGAAATCGATTATAACTAACAATTCAACTTATTGATTTCAGAAATAATTTAGAATAGTTTTTTTCAAAAACTATCATATTAGGCAAATCTCACAATATGACCAAAAAGGCATTTATTTAATTCATGAAAACTGTAAATAATAGAAAATCAATCAATCCATAGATTTAATATACAATGACTTCAATGTGTTCTTCGCTGAACTTGGCTTCAAATTAGTTGTTCAATATTCAAAAACATTATTTTGCATGCTTTTTATAACGAACCTCAAGTATCAGTGACTAGTTATGCAGAGCCTTGTTCAGAGCAATAACAAATGGATCAAAAACGTTTTTAAATAAATTTGCAAAGCTTGATCAGGAATACTCTTTCTGTAGAGCATTTTCATATCACAGTGACTGCTTGGAAAGAGCCTTGCTCAGAGAAAAAGTAATGAATCAAAAACCTACAGTTTTTTCATTAAATTTCATAAAGCACCATTTAAATATTACGCATACAAGGTTCCAATATCTCAAAGTGAGGTTAAAAGATTTGGAATTTTAGCTTTGTATTATTCTATTCTAGTTGTCAGTGAGTAACAGTATACAACAGCGAGGGCCTGATTTGCCATTATGCAAAGTACCCGTATTTATTCGCAAATATGCCAAGTTTAAAACTCAAAAAAAAGTTGCCCAACTAAGGGACGTCTTATTCTCGCATAGCTCAGATAGCACCAAAAAATCTCACAGAATAATACTCCAGCATTAATTCTTACCAAAAAAACTGTAATTTCAATCATTTTGAACAACCATTTACGGTAACTGAAAGGTTGAAATAACATAACATATGAATATGGTGTGCGTCCATGGGTTAGGCAACAGCTGTGTTTTCCGTTTTTTCCTGAATCAGCAAAACGGAAGGGTCATAAATCAATCACTTTATTTCGTGGTAGCCGCTTTCTTTCTGAAGTGCCGTTATCGGGCAGGGAGTGCTTCATTGCACCGGCCACGTTTTTGTTTTTAGGATTAAGACAAATAACAGCTGGTATACAAAGTCAATTAAATAATCGGCAGACACTTTGGCATACATTATAAAATATATCAGCCCATATATGAAGCTCACACAAATCATGTTTGAGAAGACTTGCGAAAAATAACCAAATTTATTGCCATGTCCGCTCAGGATATCTGGACTACCTTAATATAAAATATTGATTGTAAAATATTTTCAATCAAAAATGTCCTCATGTTATACATTTGGTACTTCAAGTGGCGCTGATTTAATTCCTTTCATGTTGGCAGTAATTTAGTTGTGCCGCAAAATGCTGTCTTCCATTACGATAAAACAGAAAATATAATAATCAAAATTGTTTTAATCAAAATGTGGACAGCGGCGCTAGAATGTGTGTGCCATATAAAAGAAGGTAGCGAATGCGATATTTGAATATTAAATTTGAATTGAACATCATTGACTGTAATAGATGCGTGAGCCGTGTTACGATTTGTGGAAACGGCGTATATGCGAATTTTTATAAATCCACTATTTAGAAGCTATTATTAGGGAGTCGGCTTATCCACGTGATAGGCGTATAGTCGAGAAAATACGGTAGGTTAAAGCCTAGGGGCCTCAAGCCAAATCTCGGCTTTCCAATTTAAACAATTATTCATTTTTATTCAAATCAAAATTCTACCCCTTCAATTTTGAAAACTATATATAGTATGCTAAATCACACTGATCAAACAGTTTTAATTCAAAATTGCTTTTATTTATTGAATGAGAAAAGTATCGATATATTGCTAAACTACGGTAATTTTTCTCGGATCTTTTTTATTGTAGACTAAATATTTCAGAACATGCAACGATAATTCTTTCATTGTTTTAAATCGTCAATTGCGACATTCCCCATCACCACACATATACTTCTCATAATTAAAAAACAGATTTACCAGTGCGAAGACGTTTTATCACAGCCTAAGTTTCATAAATCATTTTAATATAAACCTGCTATCCCATCTATTTGGGTGATTAGAGCATGTTTCTTGCCTGCAACCAAAATATCGTATCTCACACAAGTCAATAGTTAATTTGAGACGTTATATACCAGAGGTTGGCAAAATTTTTTAGTATAAGACCCACCTCAGCAAGCCAGGAATATGTGAGAGCGGCACAATTTTTGAAATTATTAATATTAGAGCTCATAAAATCCGTTTGCATTGTAACTGTTACTTTGGTTCTAATATGAGAATGTGCCTTTGTATATATTCGTGTCGCGAGAGGCGTTTGGGCTATTGACTGCGGCAACATCAGCAATATTTTTGTTTTCACAAAATACAATCAGAGTATGGGTGTTTGGCACGAGCAATTCCACGAAATAACAAAACTAGCTTCAGTTGTTGCATCGGATTCGTTGCCAGATGATATCACAAATTTCTGCTATCGTTTTAGTAATAATTCAAAGTCATTTAATCTGTGTTTTCCTAAAAGATGATTAACGAACGTAATCTCATACGAAGTTTTTGTGATTCTTTTCATGGTACCGTTCAACAACTTTATTCTGACTTAGCAGCTTATGAGAGATTAAGCACAAAGGTTTATTTTCTTCACTAGTGAATGCGTACTCATCTTTCCATTATGACTTAACGACCATGTTCTCATCGTGGTATTTTCGCTTCATACTAGAGGACATATCGCACTGTATTTGACACTACCCGCAATCAAGCTGCAATGCCGCCAACGCAGCAATACACATTTAACCATTGTGATGTAAGATTTGTCTATTGACTGATTTAAAATTCCATGCCACAACGATTTTCATATTAAAACATAATTTGTTTTTATCATTGATGAAAACTTCTTCCACCGCTTAATAAATTAAAAAAACTGTTACACTACATTTGGATAATAATAAATCTTAGCGAGAAAAGTCGCATAAAAACTATGGCGAGCCGCCATTCGCCTAACGTTGTTATATACACTCCATATAGAAATGCTTATTTTGACATCACAGTGGATTCTATGGAACCTTTATGCCATCATAAAATAGTTTAAAATAGGCCTCATGAATGGCATCGCTTAAGACTGGCTCTCATAGTATAAATCCAGCCCTGACTACAGCTAGAATAATAGTATTAAATACAATAACGAAAAACTAAATTATTACAATATTTCCAAGATTAATCCTTTTCCACAGAAACAGTTTTTCAAACCTAAATATGCCCGGTAGTTAGATGAAACCTATTTACCAAAATAATACAATCAGTGAAACAATGAAATTTATTTCTAGTTAAGTTAGAAATCGTTCATTTTATTTTCTTTCGATGATATTTTAAGAAAAGCGAGTAACAATACATTACAGGCATGTGCGCAGCCAGGATTTTTAAAAAGAGGGTTTCAAAATCGGAAATTTCTGTTGTGACCGGCGATTAATTGAAATAGTCGATTTTTTTTTTGTATTATGACCATTTTTGTCACATAATATTTAATCCATGACGACGACAATTTAAAATGTCTTTCTATTTTATTTCAATTGTGTTCAAGCTAACTTGCAGTTGCCTCGACTTACGAAAAAATAAAAGCATCACTAATCTAAAATACCATGGCAATTTGCGAACATAATAATGTAAGGTAACAAGCTGCCCGATTGCATTCAGTTTTGATATACATTATTGCAATCTTGCGAATTCGTTATCGCCGTTAGAAAAGATCTGTCATAAAATCCAAGAAAGTACAATTTAATTTGGTACATCAAAAATACATTAGTGCATTAAAAATACATATTCATTGCCTCGAAATTCTCGCGAAACTTCTGAAGAAATCCTCCCAATTACGTCACTTGTTAAAAGAGCCGACATTTCCAAAGGCTATATAATGTTTTTTCTGTTGTATAAAATATTCAATCCATAACCGATACAGGAATTTCGAAGTGGGGTGGTTTAATAATTTAATTTTGATCAATTTAATCTGCGGTTGTGTTGAAGAAATGAAAGCATATCTCCTCAGAAATACCACGGCAATCCTCGGATATAAAAATTGTGTAGTAAATTTGCACAATTATAGTTTGTTTTGATTCGTATTTTTGTGAATTCGTCAAATCTGAGATGTTTCCACAACACCAAACTCAGCTCCATCGCAATGGTTCAATGCAATATTTTCAGGATATCACCGTAAGAAAAATCCTCTAGTCTGCGATATTTATTTCAAAAAAAAAATGGATACACATCAATTCTCTTATATACGTCAGGCCCCATCAGAAGTTTTAGAAAACAAAAATGAGTGTCGCAGTGACACAAAATTTTGCGATTTGCAGTGACTAAAAAAGCATTTTTAATATGTTGCCAGCCATCCTAAAACAAAAATTGTCATGTTCAGCGTTTTATTTTTAGTGTTTTATATTGCCGGTTTGCAATCTAGAAAATTTAGGTTGAGGATTCACACCTCCATTTAGCATCTTGTCGCTGAGGATTATGATGTAACAATAACTCACAGCCCTGTGCAAAAACAAAAAAAATGAATAAACACAGAAATAAAAATGTTCAATTCATAAATAACACGTCACGCTGACGAATTTAACGCTGGCGATTTTGACCAAATACAATTTCATGCGTTATTAGCAATATTTTTCATCCTTTTTCAAAAGTTTTCAGAAAAAGGAAAAATTTCAAAAGGGTGAGAAGGTCAACCCTGAACCTTTTGTGTACGTTCGCAGAAAAAAACTCATTCCTATTCCTAATTACATTTGTTGATATTATATATGTCATATATGATATTGCCGCATGCGACATCTGGGTGCATATATTTCATGCTGGGTCTGCGGCATTCCAGATAGTGCTATATCATCCGTTTACCTCTCGGCAAATACCCGATACTGTATTTAGCATATTTTTTTAAATAATGAAGATCGAACAGCGATATTTGATTGCCGCCAACTCATTTAAAATAGTGCACACAAAATAATCTCCGTATCTGTGTAAAATAACACTAATGGTAAAGACCTTGAAATTATCTTATTGAAAATTTTACGATCAAAAGTTTTTCCGCCCCTGTCTAATCGACGCACATGGCACAAGCTATTGCTGCCACACCCTAGATACGCCACTGCCGGGGACGACTGACGAAGGTAGATACAAAATTATTCCACAATTATTATTATGCTAAAACCATTGTAGAGAAATTGTAAGGTATGTTTGATAGTCTAATAAATCGCTACTCTTACTACCATTCTAAAGCTACAGATCAATGCTATTCACAGAACGAGCTTTTCTGACAAGCTAAATTTCCTTTTTTGACTGTTTACTCTCTCAAAAATGTCATTTTAATTCTTGGTTTTCAATATTAACTTTTTAAGTTAGTTACGAGCATATGGCTAAATACATATGATGGTGAGAGAAATATCGGCACAACCTCTTTTTGAGTATCAAGTACCGGTATATTTAAAAGAGTCACGAAATCTAGGGCACCTAACATGTTAAACTCGGCCAGGGCACATAACTTGTTAAAATTGCCCAGGGCACTTTCGCACTTTCTTTTAGACTTGCGAAGCACCTTTGCACTCATAATTTCCTTAGAGCAAACACTGACCACCTACATAAGTAAATGACTGTGGTGAGCCAAAGCACTGAAATGCTTTAGCATTCTCAGAAACTATCCAAAGTATGAAAAGCATCTATTGAAAATGTTGAGTCAGAGATTTGGAAAGCTGCCAAGAACCAACTATAACCCTAACTCTGTTATAATGACGTAGTATTGAGTTGGAAATTATTTTTAGTCACTCATTCCATCTTTAACCTTGTTATATTTTGAATGATAATTTCAAAATTTATTTTTACTAAACTATGCTCGGTGGAAGGGATGGTGAAATTGTAAACATAGTAAACCTTGTGAAATATAATGTAAAATTAATCATGATTTCATTGTATCGCCGCACATTAGATTGTTTACATCGTTAGCGTTGAAAGAAATAACATTTGTTGCATTAGGAAGCCTCTGGGCAGTAATAATTTGGTATTATTTAGGGTGTGACGTCATCAAATTATCAAGTTCATTGTTGAATTTGTAAATTACGTAAATACATTTGTGAATTTCTCTGTAACGATTTTAGCTAAAATAATGGTTGCGGTGTTGTTCTGTTGGAAAATAACACAAGAAAACGATAGAACTAAAATTAATTACTAGACAGAATAACACTCAAGTTCAAGGGTATTTTGTACAAATTTTTGAGCATTATGTCGCATATACAACGAAATATTTTTAAACCTCGCTCTAGCGCCATCTCGCGGAATAACACACTAACGTACGCATTTACAAAGCCATGAGCAATGTTCTACTAGGGCCTAACGGTTGACAATGATATAAGACTAGAAGCTGACCATACAAAATCATACTAATTACCCCAAAAATACCCCTCGGAATTAGAGGGTTTTAAAAGCCATAGCAAAGATTTTAGATTCAAATCCCAGGTCTGCCATATAACTCCATGCGTAACAATTCTGGGAGAACTTTCAAAACAAAAAAATTCTGACATATAATTAAATACATATGGAATATAATGGCACATAGTAAAATATTATTGTATAGTAGTAACTCACTAAATATCACTGGCTGCTTGCATAAAGCCTTATTTAAAGTCAATAAACAAAAACACACTTTAAAGAATTTAATCTAAAAAATTCGACTATATGGTGTTTTGCACACATATTATAGTCAGTAAGCCTTCATCAAACTTAAAAAAAGTAAAACATATTTTGTACTGAATCACACAAGCTACTCACCTTCACATTTGATCCTTTTAATCCAGATGCCAGAGTTTGAAGTGAGGCTGACTTGAGATTACATCCATTGAAATATATTAATAGTGATGTACAGTAGGAAGCTACTGATCCAATGACATGAGCATCACTGATGGAGAGAGGATGCCAAATCATGTCAATTTCACCAAGAAATGATTTGACAATGTCACTCATTCCATCCTTGGCTTCGTTTAATGCAGTGAAAAATTCCAAAAGATCTGATTTGGATTGTGATTCGTCGGCTATTGATATGAATAGAACCTCGAGGTGCAATTGCAAACTTTTCTTGAGAATATCTCGTTTTTCCTTTAGATCCTTGATATCTGTGAAATATATAAATAAATCTATTTTACACAAAGCATCTATCGATGATGCTTATCTCTAGCTGCTTATACAGTGCTTTTTACAAAGCAACAAAAGGCTTGAATACGCTCCATATAAAAAATAATTACGGTAAGTGGAAGGCCGAATCTAGTCAGCCATAGTTAATCAATGTACATAATTGGTTCCCAACCTGAGGTGCTACTTTTTCTATAAAATCTTAATCAGTGGTGGAAAAAATAAATTTGTTTATTGGCCGAAAAACTAAAAAACGAGGAACTATGGAAACTAATTTTAAAGTCTTTGGGTTGACCAACCCCAAACTAAGGTCTCCCACTTCAGAACAATCTTAACCACCATGACATATCATCTGTAGACAAAAGACATTTTAATTTGACTATGAGTCTGTGATTCCCAACATCTTTTTAATGATTTTCCCCCTTTACCTATTTTCTTTCTATGAATACTATATTATTTATTGAATCACTAATAATTGGCCGCTTTTGGATGAAATGTTCAAGCTGCATTCCCATTTTTGCAAAGTTCGAGTGATCAAGCATTTTTTGGGCAGAATTCTTCCTCAGTTGAGAAGCATTGCAATAAGTGTAGAATTTTACCACTTGTGTGTTTAAATTTTATTTGACAAAAAACAGTGGCGGTTCAAAATTCCATCTAAGTTGTTCATTTTTTTTTGTTGTGTGTAAATTATGCAACTGTAAGGGTTCTCGTTTTCAATTTCTAATATCAATTCAAATGTTGGAAATGTGAAGACCACAGAAGGCAAACTCTCTATGAAATGAGTAACATGAAAGTACGAGTTGGCACTGAGTGCAGTCAAAGACAGTTATAAAAAAAATTAATTTTAGGGTTAACGGAGTAATTTAATAACTGATAGTATTTGTATTGATTCAAGATACCTATTTTGCAGTTACGCATTGGACTTAATATCCTTTCTTTCGAAGGACCTACTAACTCAAATTCTGCATATATCGTGAAAGGAGCATGTTACAAAATATTCGAAGGGGATAACAAGGCTAAAAAGTTTGGAAACCACTGATGTACACAATATTGGGCAATAGCATGCCGCACCTCGTTGCATTAATGTGTCAGGTATATTTTTCGGACTAGAGTTTGATCAGGCTTGTCATTGCACTCATGATTCTCCTGATCTAGAATCTTTGGTTTAAATCTAGAGTAAGATGTCATTTGTGAGAATACTACTTGGCTACATTTTGTTTGTTTTACACAGAACTTCATAGTAGCATCTGAACACTATGGACAAGAATTACAGTATCAATGTAACAATTCGTACCAGTATTCGTACCAAGATGGCGCACAACCTGAACATAGTATGTGTACCAGGTTAGGGTTGTTCGGGTTGTGCGTCATCTTGGTACGAATACTTCCGGAACACCCAATTTTTTATACAATGCTTATTCATGGCTTTATTCGTTATACAAGCGTCCACTTAATATCTAATGATATGTATTAACTAGCTGCCTTTGAAAGAACCGGAATCAGTCCGGTTTAAAATTAATGAAGAAACAGACATGGGAGATGAGTAGCCTATGATGCCAAAAGGGTTGGCCGAGCCTAATACTTCAACCGCTAGGTCATCGCATTGGCTAATTTATCAATAATGCAAAAAGGCAAATTATTAAACCTGAAAAATAAAAAAAATCTGCTCCTATCAATTTCAAGTAACATGATGAGCAATAAATTAGGTTTAGTTTATAAAATATTAAACTTATAAGCCATATAAGTGTATATCCAATGCAGTAAAATATCCAAGGTTGAGTCTAGAGAAGAAAACGACTCCAAGCCTGGAATTGTACTATGTTAAACACTGTACATCAACATACCTCCAAGTAAAACTCCGGCTGCTTCATAAACTGTTGGATTTAATAAAAGTCCACACATCATTTTTCTGATGAGAACAAAGTGACCGGTATGGAGATGTTTATCTACGAACTGGTCAAAAGATTTTAAATCCAGTCCAAGAATATAGAAAGATGTAAGCATTTCTTGAATACTTTGATGTTGAAAGTATAGAAGGTGTATTCCTTGAAGAAGTTTACGATATATTCCTCCAGGAGCTAGGATGGCTAGATCGGTTGCTTCTTCCGGGTTTAGATTAACTTGACGAAAATCATTTTCTGTAAATAGAACACGTTGTTCCACTGTCCCAATGTATGATAGTTCTTTCAATTTGCCCAAAACTTCCATAATATTCTCTTGGTGAGTATGGGAAGATCGTAAAATGCTTTGCATTACCACAGTCATAATACCAGTTATAGTGTTTGGCTTGAAGTCGGATTTGAATTTCAACGCTATCAGCGTGTAAACCAGCATCACAGGTGTGGTGCACAGTAACAAGAGTAATGGAGCTTTGATTTTGAGAAATTCCATTATTTTCTCTGCTTCTACATTTCCTTCATATCCAGAAATAATTTCTTTGATCGACTCCATTGTTAATCCAGCAAGTGCAATGACCTTGTCTGGTCGAACTTCTCCCCAATAATTTCTGATGGAATGTTCACGACTGGACGATAAAATGCGACAGCCAGGAAATAATTTTCCAGTTAGAAAATTCCATATTATAACTTCCGGGTATGTAGGCTCATCTAGGCTGATGATTTCATAAACTCCATCCACTGTATATTGAAGAGTGTCCAAGGAGTCGAGCATAAACAAAACTTCTTCTGGGTGGGTTTTTACATAATCAATTGCTTGACCTCTTTCTTCTTTTGGGAGATCGTTGAAAATTAATTCACCTGCTGTTACTTTTCTGTTTTTTATAAATTGTTTGCATTGTATATATGAAACCATCTTGATGGTTCCTTGAAAATATTTTCCCTGCATGGCATTTCTCGATGTTGCTTTCATGAGCGTGGATTTGCCAGATCCCGCTGGACCCACGAAACAGATATGACCTTGTTTGAAGTTGTTAAACAGATCGACAAGGTGAGTCTCTCTTCTGATCCCGCTTTCTCTTTCCCTCCCCAGATATTTTTGGAATCCAGATGACTCTGGTACATATTCATATTTAATTATTCTTCCACCTTTATAAAAATCTATTTCTTCTAATAGAGGAGTGACGTCCACATTTAGTTTTTTCTCATAAACTTCAAAAGGTTTGGCAAAGTCATAGAAGTCAGTGCACTTGTAAGTGTTCTCATTGATTTTTGCTATTACTTTTTGATAAGACATTATGTTTGCTTTACAATGTCATTGAGTTTTAACATCCAGCGTACGGACAATGTGGCAAAGCTTTATAAAAATATATCCATCATGTGATAACTGATATTCACTAGTATATTTTTTCGACAATATCTTCAAAGTTCTGGGATACAAACTTTAACTAAAGCTGCTACAAATCTGAACAGAAAATATTTGTTAACCAGGTGCGATGAAACCTAACATAGATGCCAACAAATCCGTTATGGTTGATATAAAATATACAATTTTGTAAACAGTTGCAATTGCTAATATCATTGTAAAATAGTCTCAAAATTAATATTAATGTGTTTTACTTGACCTCAAGTAAATTAAGTACTTTTTTATGATGTTTTTATGCGACACCCATTCCACGCTTTCTGTTTTGAACAAGGCCATCTATATAAGCAGCCACTGATATATAACAATATGAAAGGGACTGCTATTTTTAGCAAGAATATTTCCAGACCTCAAAAAATCACCTTATATTACCGGTAAGTGTTTTAAAAACAGGAAGGCAGAACGGGGTATCCCGTCATAAACATAGTGGGCTAATGAATAATCATAAAATGTTTGTCCACATATTTTTATATTTTTCTTGAGGATAAGCAAACTCATTGAAAAGTGAAATATGACTATTCTGAGGTAAGGACCCAATGGTATCTACCAGGGAGTCTGCATACTGCGGTCCGCAAAAAATTGTGGGGCCCGCAGCGAAGTGCCAATTATGAATAGTGTGCCCGCGAAACAAGTTTTTAGTTTAGGTAATCTGGTACGTGTGAGCAATTCCAATCTATTTGCGTCGCAAAACTTATACCAGTATCTGAGTGCCACTGTCGTATTAGCAAAACTAGCTAGCAAAATCCTGTTGCAAAAAACACAATGTTACAACAGCGTGTTTCTTACTGAATTCGTTTAATGTCGGTGTGACAATGAATGTGAATAGCTGTTTCTTTCGGAAATCTATGCGTTTTAAATCAACATTTCTGAAAGGACTCCTAACAATGCCGTACAATCAATACCAAAAAGAAACAAGGTCTCCTAACAATGCCGTACAATCAATACCAAAAAGAAACAAATTTTTGTGCTTGCAACTACAGTAGAAACTCCACCTACACAATTTTGGTGGGGTAATAGCTGAACTCAAATTAAGTGCATAACTACTAAGGATATGAGTCTCGATATTAAAAAGAGCTTGGTGACTTAAACACGTTTATAGACCGTGACGTAAAAATGACTGTATCAGTAGAATACTAACAATGAAGTTGGGCAAAAATAACTTTGCGGACCATCACAGCAGTTCACAGCAAATAGTTGACAATGATCAATGAGTTTTAATTAAATATAACTCAAGATAGTATTGTTGACAAAAATTTTACATAATCATCAAGAATATGAAATAGTAGGATAGAACATTCCTTTCAACCACTATTAGAAATATATCAACTTCCCCTCCCCTGATGCATAAGTCAATTCGGACATTCAAAGGCTACAAAACTAAATCAAACCAAATTCTGTGTTTTACCTAAAGTATATTGATGTAGTGAATTTGCAATTTTAATAACTTTCACTGTTGACATCTGAAAATCAAACTAAAGACGGGCTTATTCACTACTGATTACCAACTGTAAATAATATAAAATTAGTCAAAGCCTTAGGGTAGAAGTGACGCATGGTATCCTTCTACACGGGATAGGATTCACATATTTATCCAAGAGAGAGGAAAGTCGATAAGACGGCTCAACCATATGGCGAACCACGGCCTCTCGTCCAGCTACCATTCCATGTCCGGTATAGGATTAGTTAGTTTTTTTTTTTTTTCGAAAGCATGGACTTGGTGGTGGAGGAAACTGTAACCGACCAGCGGTTACGGCAGTGAGGAGTCCAGCAATCCTCTTGCATATGACCAGGCGCGCAGCCAGGATTTTTAAAAGGGGGGGGGGGGGGTCAAAATCGGAAATTACTAATGCCGTCTGTAACAGTCACCGCGATCACGCGCTCGTTAATAGAGCCGCCTTTTCAGCTTCTGTCGCGTAAAATATTCAATTCATGACAACTACGAGATTCTAAAATGTCCTTACGTATATATTAATTTTATTGTCCCCAACGCAACTCGCGGTCTCGACTTTCTACGTCAAAATAAAAACATTACTGCCGTGGACATAAAACAATGAGATAAGCTGCCCGGTATATTTAATTTTGATACGTATTTTTGCAATCTTGTGACCTCGTTATCGCCGTTAGTAAAATCTCGATATCCGATATAAAATCACGTTTAGTACAATTTTACTTCATACAATGAAAATAGATATAAAGTATAACAGTAAATAAAAATACAAATTCACCGCCTCGAAATCCACGCCGAACAGTCGCCGCGATTACGTCACTTGTTAGAAGAGCCGACTTTTCTAACGAAAAATGATTTTTCTCTTGCGCAAGGTAACCAATCCATGACCGATAAGTGCATATTTAAAATGTCCTGCTTTATTAATTTAATTGTCTCCAATTTAACCTGCGGTTGCGCCGACAAAACAAGAGCCACTCTAAAACACCACGGAATTCCGCATAAAAATGTGTGGTAAACTGCCCTATTATATATTGTTTTGATCCGTATTTTTTCTATTTTGCAAATTCGACAAATTTGAGATGTGCTTGTAACATTGACTCCGTTCAATCGCAATGCTGCCACTCCGATTATTTTTAAAGATAAAAGCTTTCGAAAAATCCGTAAATATATTGTAAATCCTCATGGAGTAAAATATATTTCAGTAGAATAAAAATTGATGGATATACTTCAGATTAATTATCTTATATATCATCACTAACGGAAAAAATCGCGTTTTCAACCTTGTTTAATGATAACACTAAAATTTTCGACGACAATTGTAAAGTAATGGATCCCACCCACAATTAACCGTGTTTCGATTTTAATGGCGGTATGTTCCTAAACAGCGAGGAAACATAATGTGTGCCGTGGGCACACGAAATTTTGCGATTTTCAAAAGCGTTTTTAGACTAGAAAAGCGTTTTTAGACTGTCGCGGGACTCAACTAATCTTATAGCCAATTGTTTACGGTTTTGTTATCAGTATTTTATATTGTCGATTTTCAGTCAAATTTAGATCGCGGGTTTACTCCTTCATTTGTGTTTAGAACCTCGCCGCCGATGAACGTATAATAACTCTCACCGAATTCACAATTCCTTGCAAAGTACAAAAATAAAATAATCATCATGTTTATCGTGGCACAAATTTGTGATTTAGAGAGAATAAATACCGACGTAAAGGCGTTTACGGCCTAGATAACACACTGATGAAAACAATCGGCGATTTTAGCAGAAGGCAATTGCACGCTTTTTCAGTTTTCACAATTCCGTGCAAGAACAAAAATAAAATAAGTAGCTACAAAATGTTTTTTCGCCCTGTGTAACGCCACATGTAACACATGTACTTCTTCCAATGGAGGTAGCACCATAGCCAGTGTTTTGAAAACAGGGATTATCAAACAAATGCCAATTGACATTCGAAACTTATAGCATAAATATTGGGAACTACCCTAAACAAGCAGATATTGCCTAGTGTTTCAAATATAGCAATAGATAAAATGTAATACATTTTTACACAGGGCATTCCAAGTTTTACTTTGGAAAAGACCAAAAGAAAGCGAATATGGACTTGATAATCGTTATGCTTCCATACTCATGTTCCATCTTCTAATTGCCGTGAATTTTGATAGGTAGCTTAACGATTAACCGCATTGATTGTTACGCGGAATTATGAGAGAATGAGTGCGATTCCGACTTTACACACACACGAGTCCAACGTTTATTTGCTCACGCCCGTAGCAGTAGCCACATTTTCAAAGTGAACATAGTCGTTGAAAAAAGATACAACTGATCTGCCAAATTAATACAAAAGTAGAAGAGAGCAACAACTGTTAATTTTTTTTTTTGACTTCTGCATATATGCATTTTCACACATTTAATCCCATTGTGTGGACACGTGAGAGTAAGACCGATATAAATAACAGTTTAAACATGTGTAACTTTTTCTATTATACGAGAGCAGTACGACTATGGTTGCAGGATAATTGTCAACCGCTCTGATTGCCCTCAATGATACAAGAAATCAAGCCCGGGATTAACCGTTTCTCTGTTTAAGTGTCAACGGTTGAATTCATAGTCGAATTCAATGTCAATATAAATAATCAACGTATGGTGTGAATTGCACAATAAATTATTACCGTTCTTCTTCACAATCAATGTTAGAATACATTTCTTTCTAAAGCATTTTGTAGCTGGAGCATTTTATCTCTTAAAATAAACGAGGTTCAAGTAATAAACGTCGTTCAACTACCGGCGACCTTAGCAAAGTTGAACAGATTGATAAATTAACTATTCATACTTGGAATTGTGCAGGACAAGTTTGCGCACAAACTGACTACGACTTTTTCGAAAATTATGTCAGTTGTTACATGTGCTGAAATAAGTCTACTCTCAAAAGTAAACAATAATATTCCAGCCCGACCTTGCGAGGTCTTCCAAAGCGCTATCACCTGTGAACGAATATCAAGCTTGGTACGATACCGGAGAAATTATATAAACGCTGTGCATGAACCTACATAGTATGATCGCACAAAACGTCGAGAATGGACCGACAAAGGAAATGTTATGTTAAGGACAGTATTGTGTCGACGGGTAACGTAATACGCACTCGCGCGTCATGGAATGTTTCCGTCAAAGAATTAGCTGTTTTAAATTAAAATAACAAATAATAAAGCAGCACTTGATCTAATTGAATTCAACGATTAATTAACAAAGTATAACTGATAAAGCACCTCTTCGATTCGTGAAAATATGGCGAGAGGGAAAAACACAACGGCCATTTTATCCGTTTTTGTACATGCTATTATATAGCGGTAATTTTGACAGGAATTGGACAAAATAAGTTTGAGAACTCTTGAATTGAACTGTTGATATATTGATGTCTATCCCTGAACAATCTCAGTTTTAGAAAGAATTTTCCGATCATTTCAATCGTTTTTATACCATGTTTTGTCAAACTAATTAA